GGATTGACGCAAGTACAACAACTCTTTCTTGGGGCAATATGGTACAAGACTGAAGCATTATTTGTCGAATCATGGCATGCACTGGGAGCTGCAATCCACGAGGCCCAAGAACTAGGTCAGTGCCCCATACATCCAGCCAGTCGGATACTAATCCGGAGTAGGAATGCATCGTAGTTCCTCCAAAGCAAAGGTATCTGAATTCGAACGGGAAATGAGAAGACGGATATGGTGTCTTCTCTACACCTGGGACTGGTAAGTCCTTATCCCTTCTGCAATACCTTACACTAACGCCACAGGCAAATCTCACTCCTCTTATCACGCCCATTCATCATCAACAGCAGCAGCTGTTCCTTCGAAATACCCAGTTTACGACTCGAAGCCCCCAACACAGAAACATACACCCCGTCCCCAGTAACATCCATATCCCTCCAATATCAGCTAGGACAAAGAATTTCCAACATCCCCGGAGTGATGAGCGGCATCCTATCTCCAAACCAAGCCATCGCCATCCAACAAGAAGTCACCCGATGGACCGACACCTTTCCCCCAATCTTCCACCTCCAAGACCCCGACACCACCCACGACCACATCCACACCTACATACCCATGCAACGCCAACAACTCCACGCCCTGGCCCACATGGTCACCTTCATGCCCCTGAAACCCTGCCTCACCATCGACACCACCACCAAAAACACACCCACCCTCGAAAAGTCCCTCCAACCAGCTGCAGTATCCTGCGCCCTGAACCTGATGCTCTCGGCCCAGCAACTCCTATCACATTTCCTTCCTGCAAACGGAAAGTTCCACTTCGCGCCGTTTCTGATGTTCGACACGGCTGCGTATCTCTGCTCTGCACTTATCCATGATAAACATCGGGACCTTCCTCAGCGGGAGAAGGTACTCGAGTGCATATCTCTAGCCCTGACTACACTGAAAGATGTCGCCAGAACGGCTAAAACTGGCGCTACCTGCTATGCTGTTCTTGCGAAGATAGTGGGTAGCATCTCTCTTTCTGCCGAGGAGAGGGAAGTGGTCTGGTCGAAGAGGTCTCCTGCTACAATGTCTACCACTAGAAGTTCTGACGATGCAGGATGTTCTTTGTCTGAAGATACTCTTACCAGTGGACAGGATAATGGTTTAGTCTCACGACTGCTGGAAAGACATGGCCCCTCAGACAGTACACCTATTGATATGCACGCATATGCGAATGGACTAGGACTGGATGGTATTCCTAGCACGGGCCTAGAGTTGGACCTAGATCTGAGTGACCTGAATCAGATCTGGGATTGGGATAATCTTGGTTTAGATCTAGATATACCTAGTATCCAATCATGAATTCTTGATGATTATACTATACAGAGACTACAACAATCAAAATGTCAGCCGTTCCAGATAGAATATCTGTCTAGTAAACAACAACAATACCTCTCTCCTACCATGCCCCTTACATCATATCCAAAATATTTCTTCATATACATACATACATAACCTATAGCATAACCATCATATACATCCAATCATTAATCATCCAATCCAGAGTTCCAACGCCATTTCGCCACATATTTACCGATTAATCATGTAACCCCATCCATCTATCAGTGAAAACCAACCTACTCATCTTCTTTCTCCTCCCCATCATCGATAATCATCTCTACCTCCTTAACCGGATGCAACAGCATCGGCGGCAAACACATCCTGCCCTCACCCGCCAACTCGGCCTGCTCACCCCCCTCATTATCAACCTTATACCCCAGCCAACGTTTCCACAGATTCGGCGCAAACCCAGCAGAGTAGAACCACGTCGAGCCGCGGAAGTTATGTTCCCTATCGCCGAAGACTGACGTGCGAGCACCACCAGACGCACCGTTCCGGCCAGCGTTGAATACCGATTCAAGGTACTGAGTCGGCCAGTGGCGGTCAATGTACACTGAGTGGGGTACGTAGACGGCCTTGAACCCGTGATGGAGGGCTGTCGTGGCAGGCCACATTTCGGAGAACATAGTGTGGCGCTTGTGGATCGTTTCGTGGTGCATGGTTTGGATGAGTTTGTTGGAGAGCCGGGAGGCGGTGATGATGGAGGCACGGCGGGGAGGAAGAGGGCCGGTGGAGTGGTCGTAGCCGGTGACGTCGTCGCGGAGAGGCCAGGTTGTGCCTTCGGGGTCGAAGAGGGGGTTGAAGACGATGAGGTCGGCTTCTTCGTCGACGCCCCATTCGTAGCGGTCTTTGTCGATCGTGGTGGGTGGGATGCCTTCCGAGGGGACTTCGAGGATGTCGGGTTCGTTAGGTCGTTCTGGACCCCAAATTGGCTTGTCGCCTTGTTGTTGCTGTTGCGCTTTCAGGGACTCGGGGGTGCGGTCTTGACCGGGTCGCGAGGCGCCGGCGGCACTCCAGAGATTGTTGGGGCTGTTTGTGCCGATGTCGGTCTGCACGCGGACCATCTGCCGGAAGTCTTCCCAGGTGCCGTGCACTGAGGGGACGTAGAATCGAGCGTTTCGCTCCCAGAGACCCTTGCGTGGCTGGGCTCGGGCCCAATTGATGACTTTGTCGAAGAGGTGGTACCAATGGCCGGTGTACCGGGCATCCATTTCCCAGTTCCAGTAGTAGTCGTATCCTGGGTGCTGATGGGCAAAGTATTGCATGGGCATGTAGGTGCTGCGGTATACGCCGTGCACGGATAGCCCGCGGGCCCAGGTCTCTTCTAGACCGGGATACATGAGATTCATTTGCCGCTCGGACCAGAGAGTAGCCATGCCGCGGAATTCGGCTGGCAGGGCCTCGTTTAGCACGCGCTCGTAGACCTCATCGTCAGCCCAGATTTGGAGGGTTTCGTCCCGGACCTGGACCAGGAAATGAATGGTGTATTCGCCGCCAGAGAGAAGTGATAGCTCGGAAATGAGGGATCGTAGATACAGGATGTCATCCGGGGTGTAGTGAAAATCATTCCACGTGCGGATCACGAATGCGGTCCGGGGTAGATAGGACTTTCCATCAGACCGTGCCTCGTCCTGGGGCGCTTGCTTGGTGTCTGGTGCACCCACGGTCATAGTACGGAAGCGGTCGGATTGTGAAGCAGGAAGATCGCGGAACCGGTGGCTGTTCGAAGCCAAGCATCGATTCTGCGCCGCAGCCCAGTCGACGCGACGAAAGTCAACTGGCGGAACGTCGTTCCAGACACGCTCCGCACCTTCACGATCGCCTTCGAGGCCTGCACCGATACCACCCTTTCGCACACTGTAGCCTAGACCGTAAGGACCAAGACGCCCAAAACGGTCAAAGCAAACGTCGTCTTGAATACCGATCATCTCATTGGAGCCCATGATCGCATCTGGAAACCCACGAGGCACACCCGGATAGTGATGTACCAGAGGGATCCGTAGGTTCTCGTCCTCGTCAAGGAAGCAATCACGCTTCTCACCGTACTTTTTGACATATTTCGCGGATGAGTAGTCGGGATAAGGGTTGAAGATAGAGCTCGACAATGGCAATGTCTGGTCCCGGGCTTGAATGATGGTATCATTTGCACCTTCCGCGCTTACAACGCCCAAGATCTCCGGATTATCGTTGGGATACTCTGGCACCTGTTCGCTTCGCGATACCAAGAACCGGATGCCGCCATGGTAACGTTTCAATAGAGGGAAACTCTCCCACTGTGCCGGTTTTGCAGCAGGCTTCGGCAATGGAACATTGACGCGAGTGACAGCTGAAAGGAAGGTAAAGCGAAACAAGGTGCAGATAAACAGAACCAAGAAGGCCAGTAGCGCGAGACAAAGCCATCTCATGATCCGATTAGGTATGCGATAGCCTGGCCTGCTGCGAGAACGTCGCACGGGTGCCACCGGCGCTCTGTTCAGCATGGGGCGATACGAAGCCACCGAGGAGGAGCTTTCCGAGTCATCTTCAATGTCTGAATCATACGAGCTGTAGCTATCGCGACGGTAGTGGCGCCTCGGCCTCGATGGTTGCTTCTCAATGTCGACCACATCGCGACTGTCGCTCGAATAGGGCGATGATGCATTGACCTGATACCTCTTCGAACGGGCAGGCATGGCGGAGATCTATGTTCGCATAGAAAGTATGTATTGGTGGCGACGTCAGAGGTATGCGAGTGGATCAGGCGATCAATAGAACGGCATCAAGTTCGGAGAAAAAGAATGCTCGGCAGTCGACTTTGTTTCTGACTGGGCGCTCGATTGCTGCAGTGAGTGTAGACTCAGCGTGACTGGGCCCGAGAATGGGCGTGCGACTATTGCGCACGTCTGCGACGGAGTGCTAGTTAGAATGGTATACCACTACTATAATAGCAGCGAATACAAACAAACCAGTACCAGCCACAGAAACCCCAGAGTGACCACGGATCAAGGCTAGTGGAACTCAAGCAAGTTAACAGGTGACGATGGCGAGAACAACCCCGTATCAATCTTGATATCAACAAAACAGTGAGCTACCGACAGGTAACGACATACGGAGTAGCGAGCTGTTTGGTAGATCGGCCAGGAAGCGTTGCCCAAGGGACGGCCGTGCTGATGCACTAGCCCGGCAGGACGGCTTGGCGCAAGACATTGAGGCTGTCTTGAATCGGTAAGGTGCCATGAATGGCGGAGAGAGATGGGATTGATGATGCTATTGACGGTGTATATGTACTCTCAAGATTAGCCATAATGAAGTAGTTGCCTTCAAATGATCCGGAAATACAAAGAAAGTCCCTTTTGGGGTGGAATGTCTTGTGCTGTCCACATGCGGTTAGAGGCAATTCACGGTCACGGACTAGTCCAGTACGGGCATGTTGTCGCCTGAGGTATCAGTTTGACTGATCAGGCCAAAAGAAGCAACCACCAAAACTGAAAGACAAGAACAACAGGAAGTACAACCACCAGGCAGAACACACACACAAGGAACATTCTCCCTCGTGCCTTTGCCATTGATCTGCAAGGCGCATCTGCACTATCTTCTTGATCCGACGCTGGCCGCCTCACCTAGACTATACTCGACTTCTAGGTATGACCATCTCCTACGAATCCTCGGCAACAGCGGTAAGATCACTCTTCAGTTGTCAATTGACCCAATATAACTGACAACACAGTCGTGAACTTCCAACAGGATCGATCCGAGCCTCTTTCATGAGAAAGAAAAGCAAGCATCGAGTCCAGCGTGACCCTACCCACGGGCCCACAGTTACCCCAGCTTTCTCTCCACACGCCCAGACACCAACTCACATTCCACCGCCAGCCACGAAAGCCTAGCAAAGACCAGACCTGAACCCATTGTGCAAGAATGTGCTGGATTGGGAGCACTGCCTCGTGAGAGAGCTCTTAGAAGGGATAGGAAAAGTCACCCGCTGACTGGGTCGGCATGCCGTTGCTGACCGAATAGATGCTGCGGAAACTAACTCGCTAGTCTAGTTAATATTTGCTTTGCTTTTAGTTCCCGAGACCACTCCCATTGGAATGGCTGTCGTCATACATCACAGTGACGACGATCCGTCTCGTGTTTCCAAGATCTCATGATGGCCACACCTTTTGTTTACCGCACACTAAATTATGACACTGAGAGTTGCTATTACCCTATAAACGGAGATCAACTTTCTTTGTCGCCTAGGCAGCTTTCGCCTCGCGGTACTTGCGGTGTGTGATGCAACGGTGATGATTGGCCCACCTGTCCATGCACGCTGCATCCAGCAGGTTCAGGTTCTTGATCAGGAGGTCTCGATGCCCCGACGGATAGCACTGTTTGCTTCCCCGGCCATTCAATACCAACTGGGTCAGTCCAGTATCGTGGCACCTGCGGTCTTGATGCCGATGACTAACTATAAAAGTAGAGAGTGAATCACATACTCCCGGAGGTATGCAGCTCTCCCGACTCGAAGTCAATTGAGATAGAATCTATACCACTCATCCATACCCTTCCTCCCAGCCAAGCAACGCCAGTCTTCACTACATAAGGCAGGGTGAATAACGAACTGACGACAATGGTCCGTACCTCCTCGTTACCACCCAGCAAACCTCCATTAACACCAAACAGGAACACCCGACAACCAACCACACCTACAGTCCACCCCTGGACAGCATATTCCTCCTCCTACCAATCCTCCTCGTACCAACCATCTTCCTCCTCCATCGCATCCACAAAGACTACCAAGCCTTCCTCGCCCTCGGTCCCGGCGGCACTCCATCGACCCCAACAGGCTACCTCCGCATCTGCCTCCTCCGACTCTTCACAATCCGGGACCCCTTCCAACCGCCCTCCCTCCCACCAACCCTCCTCCCCAAGACCGGCCTCCTAAACTCCAACAACCTCCCGCAACGCCATGGCCCACGCCCCACCGTCGCCGGGATAGCTCCCCAGCGCCAAATGACCCAAAAGGCCAATCCAGCCATGTACGAAACCCTCGCAACCGAGATCCAGAAATTAGTATCCCAAAACCCAGACGCCCTCTACGAAGGGACCTCATGCTTCGAAAAACACAGCACGGGCATGTTCTGCTCCAGCACCGACACACCCCAGCAACAAAGCGCAGGCACGCTCAAAGACCGCGACATCTCCTCACTAATGATGTCCCGCAACCAACAATGGCGTCACCGCCGCACCTGCAACGGAGAAGTATGTCACGCGCACCCCAGCGACGGAAGTCTGCATTTGACGCTGCATCCGGCGGACGTGAAAGCAGTGATCGAGCGGGGCTGGGGTCAGCGACATCCATTAACGCGGGAGAGCTGGTGGTGGTGTTATTTGAGGACTGTACCGACGGGGTTCGTCATGATCTATGCGCCGAGGGATCAAAAGGAGTTGGAATGTGTCTTGAAGATTATTCGTGCTGCGGCGTGGTGGGTGAGCGGGGAGGAACTGGTGCAGCAGAAGACGCAGAAGTGGGAGGGAGCACCTGTTCGTCGTCAAGTTGTCGAGGGATGTAGGTGAGGTGAAGTTAATGATCATATATATACACTGTATATACATGGTAGTATAGTATATCAGTTCATATATATAGTAGAGCAACCAAGATCGTATTGGATAATTGGCTTTGGGGATGTGGGATGTGGTAATGGGGCGTTCGTTCAAGGACTCGACACATGGGGGAAACGGAGGAACCTGAAAGATGGATAGACTGCACTCGATAATACTAGCTATAGTTATAGTCATAGTCATAGTCATGTTATATTTATAAAATGTTATCACAACTCACTAAAAGTAGAATAAAAAACCGGCCACTACATGCACTCGTTCTACATTCTCATTCTCATTCTCGGGGCCAAATGCATCACAGCCCAGTCCATGGATATACTGCCTTTCCCTTTTCCATTTTGTCCCTTGTTCCCGTTCCCTCCCTTATTTTGCGCCGAGCATGAGGTCGAGTCGAGTCGAGAGAAAGGGAGGGAAGGAAACGGCATGCGGTTGAGAAGCACAAAGGCAGAGAAGAAGTCGTAAAAAAAAAGAATCGGGCGGCGCCAGGGTGACAAAAGAAATGATAAAAAAAAAAAGTAAAAGCTAATAGCATAGAGGAATGAAGAGCCGTTAGAGAACATACAAGAACCACCAAGTTTAGCAAGCATAATCCCTTTCCCCTACACGAGGTGACTTTGCCGGCCCCGGTTCCCCATCCAGCATCCGCAACTCCCAGGTTCACAAACTTCCAGGTATTCTTCCACTCATTAGATGATCAGTTTAGTCGCGGTTCGTTTTCCGCAGCGTCTCAGCAAGCCACTCCAGACCCTCGTACAGACCGTCACCAGTCGTGGCGCAGGTGGATTGGATGTACTAGAAAAGGGAAGCAAGCGCGTTAGTTGAGTGGATACTCGGGAATCGACACCTTAGGTGTCGATATGCGAGGGGCATATAACTTACCCAGGGGCGGCGGGTGAGGCTCTGCAGACCAAGCTGCTGAGTGATCTCGGCAGGGCTCATGGCGTTCTAAAGGAAAAGAAAGCCAAAGTTAATATCCATTGTTTCGGCCTTCACGTTGTTGCGATGGGAATAGATTTCAAGCATACCGGCAAATCTTGCTTGTTGGCGAACACCAGGAGAAGGGCATCACGGAGTTCATCCTCGTTCAACATGCGCTGCAACTCCTCACGGGCCTCGACGATACGGTCACGGTCATTGCTGTCGACAACGAAAATGATACCCTGAGTGTTCTGGAAGTAGTGTCTCCAGAGAGGACGGATCTTGTCCTGACCACCGACGTCCCAGACGGTGAACTGAATGTTCTTGTATTCGACGGTCTCGACGTTGAAACCTGCACAGCACAAAACAACACTTGTCAGTCTTGTTGTTTTCCCATCGTGGATTGAATTGCATTTCCAAGCACAGTATCGTTCCGTTCGGCGCTGAGCCAAGCCCAACTACTGATCGATGCCAAGTTCTGCTTTGTCTGGGCCGAGAAAAGGGAGAAAGAGGTGGACTGACCAATCGTGGGGATGGTGGTGACAATTTCACCCAGCTTGAGCTTATACAGGATGGTGGTTTTACCGGCGGCATCGAGACCGACCATCAGAATACGCATCTCCTTGCGGCCCCATAGCCGGTCGAACAACTTGGAGAAAGTGAGACCCATGACGACGGTTGCGTGAGATTCAAAGGTCTAGGGATGAGAATGCGATGTTAGAATCAATCTGACCAAGAGAGTCCAGGGTGTGCGAGATCCACACCGCACGGTCGGAGAGAGAGGGGAGAAGAGTGAGAGAGTGAGAGAGACAGAGAGGGTCAAGCGACAGAACACAGACCTAGTGACGTCGGGCAGAGGAGGGGGAAGGTATAGTATAAGGGTAAAAGGGCAAGTGGTATGACGGATGGAATGGAGTGGTGGACGAGGGGCGAAGGTAATCAGGTTAAGGTAGTCACGCCGGGGAAACACGGCGGGCAGGACAAATCAGGGGGAGAAAGCGGTGGCCGTTAAGGAAAGGAGAGGAAGGGAATAGAGGTGTGTGATCGGGTGACAAAAATGGAGAGGAACCAGCCGGGGAGAGGGAGAGGGAGAGGAAGGGGGAATATAGCAAGACTTACCAGGTTGCGATTGAAGCTGGAGAAGGAGAGAGGGAGGGAGAAAGAGGGAGAGTTGGAAGGCGTGGATACGACACAAGACAGTTAGAGAGACAAGCTGGAGATAGTGAGTGATCAGTCAGTCAGTCTCAGTCAGAGTCCGTCAGTTCTGTTAGTTTCAGTCAGGTCGGTCAGGTTCAGGTCTTTTTTCCCTTGCCGTACGCCAGAAAGACGGTTTTTTTGACGAGGTGGTGGGAATTTTGGGTCGAGAAATTCAGCCGCTCGGCGTAGCTTCCGTCACTAACGAAACCAGCTGGTCAAAAATACCAAACTATGTATTCTATTCTCTGTTACCAGGATGTCTTTTACGCAACAAACAGGCACAATGCTTGCAATTGAAGACAAACAGTGTATATAGATTGAATCTAGGATAGTAATAGAGGTTACCACTAATACTTAATACCATCCAGCAGACACAGACCGTCTCGACGAGGCTCTCGTGGTGTCCTCCTGCTCAAGACTGCGGCTCCCGAAAGGAAAAGAAGAGGACACGGTGTTTCCCGTCAATGGATTCCCGGTTGATACCAATTCAACATCCCTGTTGCTGCCTCGAGATCGGCTTACCCACGAAACAAGTCCGTACCGTTTTTACGCCAAATGGAAACGGGCTTCATCGTTGCCTATCCTCATGTCGCCCACAACGGTCTAATGCTGCTACCCGTTCACAGCCTCTTTGCTTTGCCCAGCATACTCTCTTGCCTAGTATCTATCTGTCTCCCTCCTTTGCCCCCCTGGGCCCCTCTTGGTCCCGAGAAAAGGTCCAGACACCCGGATCGGTGCCCACTCGGACACCTGATAGGTTCCCGAACAAGGCTTTCTGGGTACCCCGTCCCAGTGGATCGCCTTCGGTGGCACTACTATGGGGTGCAAGTCAAGAAGGGTATCGATGGATGTCTTGTGCTCACGCCTGTCGGTCAGTTGTCCCTACAACATTGGGAAGTCGATGAGGATGATTTCAGGGTAAATTCCGTAATTTGGTGGCCATCGCACTAATCACTCTCCTGATTAGATTGACGAATCGTCACGCGCATAAAGTACGCCGTTGCGTTAAACACTTGGGTTCGTGCAAGCCCTCGGAACCCACAGGGGCCACTTTCAGCTCACTACGCGTCATGCTATTATTCATCCCTCGTGCCAGATAAGCAAGCGATCCTCAGCGACGGGCCACTGCCGCATCATCCCCGTGACTCCTGGGGGCGTGGCATTTGCAATTCCCCGTATCGGATTTCCATCATTGTTCGAGGCCATGCCGTCATGGCTCGTGCTACTGGTGTGGGCCTCAGGAGAATAATCGCGAGAGCATGTGGTAGGGTCTTGATGGACCCTGATTTGGATGGGGCGAATGCACCCGATAGGTAACATCGTTCGGCCAAACAGATTACATAGCAGTGGCTTGTCATGAGCCATTCGAAACGTGCACTGCGGAATAAAGTAGCAGCAGTGGAGTAGACATGTGACTGGTCTCTTCTCGAGATCTATAGCATCGGATTCGCTTGCATGGTGCTTGTAAGTTGTAATCTGTTCATTCGTGTGCAGGGCTGCGCATTGTGCAGGAAGCTCTATCTATGCTGAAGGCTGGGTATCTCTTATCGCAACACATAACTCGACGCGTCAAGATCGATGGCTTGCGCCGCCCGATGTCTCGTTTCTACGGTAGGAAACCCGGTCTTTCGACATGCGGAAGAAACTTCGGGACAACGATTGGTAGATTGTCTTGCCTTCCACGGTGTCGCTGGCGTATCCAAAAATCCAGAGCAGGACCATCGACAGGAACAAGATCACACCAAAGCTGACCCAGTACTGATTGATCGTATATTCGCCCTTGACGTTGCGAAGCTCGGTGGAGAAGTAACCAGTCATCAGACTGACTGGTAAAAACAGGATGGTCACTTTTGCGAGTAGAATTGTGATTCGCGTCAGCTTCTCAACGGCTTGCGAATCCTTGAGGGCGATCAAGTTGAAGTTCTAGTGATCGGTCAGTATATTCCTTCTGTTCCAGGATGGAGAAACATACAAGGAATGTGAGGTTTTCCTTCTCTGTCAGACAGCTCTCAATCTCCGACAGACAATATAGCTTGATGCGATCGAGCAGTCGTTCGAATCGAGCTACAGCAGGCGGACTAAGCTGGACACCTACATCGGCATCTAGAGTTGAAAAGCTGAAACTTTCCCTCGTCGAGTGGCGAGTATCCCCAACTTCGTTTTCCGCAAAGCTTTGTCCCATTGCCATTGGAAGTCGATTTGACCGGGCCTCGTCACGCAGCAGACGCTGTCTCTGCAGTATACGCATCATGATAAGTTCATAACTTTGATAGAGACGTCTCAAGACGGCCAACTGTCTGCCCAGCCGATGTAATTCATGGACCAGGTCAACCTCCGGTCTCGATAACATGTCTTGCCTCTGAACAGTGTTAATGTATGCGTGTGAGAAGGTAAAGAGCCATCACCATGGACTTACAAGTCTGTTGAGGGATACCCCGTATTTATGTTCGCGTTGTGCAACGAGAGCATACGATGAAACCCAGTCATCGAATATATAGTAGAACAACAAGCTCGGCCCATCTTCTTGCTTGATGCTCACCTGTTCTGGACCACCCTCAAAGAACGGTCTTACTCGAATAGTAACCAACGAGTCACTTTCAGACGAAGCAAAGTGCTGTTTCGAAACGCCCGCAAAGATGAGCTGGATGTTCCTGCGGACTACGCCGAGCACAGCTTGCAGCTCCTTCTCCGATGGCCCAGACAAACCAGGGAATGGATTCTCCTGCATGCAAATAACCGTTCCTTGACCAGTCAGCACAACATCCTCGTGTCTCCAATAGCAAACTTACCATCATTACATAAGATCAACCAGGTCCATAGTCGCTTTCCATCCGGCAACTCTTTCCCATTATGTTGGTCTGTTTGAGGAATAACAAATAGCGAATTGTACCCAATACAAGTATCTAAATCTGCGTTAGTAACCGCCTCAATGAATTCAAAGATATAAGCATACACTTTAAACCATAGTCCACCGAGCAAAAGTGCCAAATCTGATCGATAACGTTGCCAAAGGTAATGCCTCTGAACGCCGCCAATGCCGCAATCTCTTCAGGATGTCTCAAGTTCTGTAACGCATTCCCCTCCACATCATCTGGACGAGACCGACGAGAGCGATCGGTATTATTCGAGCGAAAATTATTCCTCTGTGGCTCAGGAGGCACAGGAGGCTTCGAAGGACGTTCCACCGGATCCGTACACATCAACCCCTGCAGCCTCTCTGAAACACCATAGTGATTCGTAAGAGTCTTGATCAAATCCTTCTGTTGCTCCGGAGCCCAGATATTACTAGAAAGACACAGGTCAACAACCAATCCTAATAACAGAGGGGCAATACTAGAAAGCACAAACGTACATCCACCTCGTCCCAAAACACTTCGGTTTCTAAGCCATCAACGTCAGCACTCCATCTCCCCCACTCCGCAGACAGCACATACAGGTTTCCTCAACATCGCCGCAATATCCTCCTGCCCCAAATTCACCGCACACCAAGCATCATCATTCCCGAAGTCGAGCACGAAGTTACGCGTTTGAGAATCCTTCAAGAGCTTCAAGTAAGCCTTAAGGTTAGTTTCGTCATCGATATCGCAGAACGCATTTTGCAGATTCGGTCTGGATTTAAATCCGGCGTAGTATTCCTGAGGTGTTTGGAAGGTGGTTGAGCGGACGAGCTCGGACATGCTTAGTTAGGATGTAGCTGCGCGTGTCAGAAAGATATCAGTAAAAACGATGTATAATAAGTAGTAGCGGAAGATAAAAATGCCCAGAAACTCAATGCACACAACAAACACAGGAAGATTGAAGAACAGAGCAAAAGACGAAAGACAAGGCTGTCGGCGCCTCTAAATAACTAAAAACGGACGCATAGCTAACGTAACCTACTAACCTACCCTGTAGGTATAGTCTAGCCCAGTCAGTCAGTCAGCCCAGCCGTGCAGGTGCATGATGATCGAAATCATTCGAAGGGCTGAGACGAGAGCATAGTCAGTTGCCGCGGGGGGGGGACGAGAGCTAGGAACTAGTAGAGGGGTTGGGATTGGTGCATCGCAGCTGACTGACACACGAGGGCGGTGCGACGATCCATCACAAGCGCCCTTCAAGCTGAATGTTTGAGAGGGTGTGAGGGTATGCAGATTAGCGCCTGTGTGACAGGCACCAATCATGAGTACCGGGAAGGTGCATACTAGTAGTACTAAGTACTAGTAGTTTGGGGAGTGTATTGCTGCGCCATCATTAATATGGGGGGCTTTTCTTTCGGAGAATGATGCAGGTGCTTTAGGGTACTAAGAAGAGGGGGCGGCTATCGAGTGAGCGTGTTAGTGTAGCCGCAGGGTCGGCCAGGGTCTATACTAGTATGTTTGCGGGTGGGCGTTGGAGGGTTGTGATGCTGGCGAGAAAGGTTTATTTTGAGGTGATTCTCGCAATAACAATTTGTTCTTGAGGATTTGATAGATTGGGATTATTATGCTATCTCATTCAGAAATAGAATAGAATGTGTGGTTTCAAGGGTAGAAAATGGTATCCGGAGTTGCATGTCTAAGCCACATTGCAGTGGCTTAAACCTTACAGGCATCATCGGAGCCGAACCATGGATGCCTAATGGAAAGGTACACCAACAGGGATCTCTTATCGAATGTTACGTAGATATTTCTAGGATCAATAGAATCTAGCCGCTGGGGGGATAGGATGTGTGGTCGACCATATGTAGGAGACAGTGGCGGTGCACACGACGATGGTTAACCAACGGTGTTCCATATATTATCTTAGCTTCGACTTCAACTATGCTTTCTCAACCTATCAGTGAGAGTCGCAACACTCTCAAACATAACGCAGAGACTAGACGTCATGTCTCTTTGGAGAGTAAGTAGGACATCATACAGATGCTGTCGCTACTCGGTTCAGCTGTCACGAACGTTAGCGCCCGTGACCCACCCATTTCTATAATTGGGTCCGTGCCCAAATGGGTGGATTGCTACTGACCATCTGATTCTCTCAAGTGTCTTTGGAGGTTGTTGATCCTTAGAAAGCCAAGCCTGTATCTGTGGCAGAAAACTGGTTGGTAGGACAACATCTTGAAGCAATGACGTATGTTTATCTGTGTAATGACAAAATGATTATATTATCTATCAAACATTCGTAACTATAGACAAGAAAAAGGGACAAAAGCCGCGGTATAGTCATGTCTATCCCAACAGCATTTCCACAATCATCGTGGAAAGAATATGTTGAATATAAATATTCGTGCATCTTGTATCCCGTCCCTAGAGGATACCGCACCCCCATCAACAAAATCTTGTTAAACTCTGACAGACGGCCAGACTCTAAATCGCTTATGCTATCGCTGGAACGATCATCGCTTGCTATCTCAAACAGATTTCGAGGGAGGTATACGAAGAGTCGGGGAGGTGTTTATATACGGTCACATCGATTAAGCTTCTTGAGCCCATCGTCGCTCCCGGAGAGGCATCTCTTCACCTGCCTGGGTCCGCGACCCGTCTACCTCCCGGCGCCATGCGTAGTATTCGCCGAGACGGACCTCGGCGTAGGAGGCGTAATCGAAGTCGATCTGTGAGATTTGGGCTTGGATGAGTGACCACACGCCCCTGTTTAGATTAGCATGTAGTATATGAAAAACACGTAAGGGATAATACCAGTAGAGTCCGGGAATGCCTCGGAACCGATCAACGTCTTCGTAGAGTCGGTCGACAATCTCCCCTTGAGATGACTCCGGGAGACCCTTGTGGTAGCTGTAACTCTTGACATATTCGGTCAAGAACTCGCGTCGCACAGAACGGGTGGGCAGCATGTTGTAGTCGCAGTCATAACCGCCCCATTCGGCAAAGTGGTTGACAATGTCGAAGGCGGCAGGTGAAGGGGTGGCATATTCGTAGTCGATGAAGTTGACAACGGCCGCTTCGTCTTCCGAAGAGGCGCTTTCGGGCAACACGATGACGTTCGCGCAAAGAAGGTCACAGTGAGAGAAAACCAACTAGTGTGAGGTTAAATGGTCGTTCCGTATAACAGGGACTAGTGCTACGTACTCCACCATCGCCTAGGCCCTTTCCATCGTCTAGCTCGCTGACAACCCGCTCCAGCTCCTTTTGCAGACTAAGTCTCCGTTGGCGCTGCTCCTCCGTGGTCGTGGGCAGAGCAAGGATCCATTTTTGGAGCACACTCCACATGCTCGGCCCAGGCTGCTTTGGGGTGATCACGGAGATGTCCTCGTGCTTCAACTTCTGGCAGTGTGCCGTGGCCTCATCTACATGTTGCATCAGGGTCACGTCCTCGGCGGGCATTAGCGGTGTGGCAGCTCCCTTGATGGGCAACACCGCATGCCACTGCGCAAGTCTCCTGGCCACACCACGCCAGACGGCAGGCGTGGCAAGGTCCTCCGCGCTGGCTGGGCGGCCACGGAGAAACCGGTACAGGAGGCCATTGTTGAAGCGCGCCAGGAGAGGAGGGGCTAATCCATGGCTGGCAAGAAGAGCATGGGATCTCGTTTCTCCTATAGGTAGAAGTATCTACTCAGCAAGTGTCGCAATGGGCAGAGAGGAGGGGCAAGTAGTGACCCCGGGTGGCATACTTTCGCGGTCTATGAGGATTTCTGTGTGGTTACCGTACGCTCGCATCAGTACTGCTTCTTGGTCTATCTGCTCCTCGGTCAAGCCAGGCTTGCGATTGATGATTTTAAGAAGCTGAAGCCACGTTAGTCCCATAGAATGGCGGTGTTGCCTCTTACAGCGAGCACCGGCGAAGAGAACATTGCGAGGAACACACAGTATTGGTGATGCCATCCGTGAACCGGACAAACTCGATCTTGTTGTCCGGTCCCTCCCAGTGCGGGTTGAGTGTCAAGATGAGCCTCAGCGCGGAGGCATGAGAGTCGGCATGATTGTATGATAGGGGAATGTGACGAAAGGGCCTGCGGTCTTCTGCATGCATTATGGCGGTTGTGGGAGAATCCAAGGGGTTGAAAGGAGGGAAAGAAAAAAAAAAATGGCGGTGATCGAACAATACGCGACAGTCGACCAGGGTCTAGCCGTTCTAGAACTCTTCCACGCAAAGTCAGCCACACGATTCAAGCGATGTGCTAGTTATTGGCATGATAAGGCATAGCCTTGAATTAAAGCACACATGTAGAACAAGGGTACCCACGTACCTACTAAAAAGTGATAGACAGAACAGGAGATTTTCCTTTTCCCGTGTGGTCCGTGAGCCGTCCGAAAAGGGGTGATTACGAGTACAAATTGGCCGGCAATTGATACTCTCAGAGACAGGCGCAAGAGAAATGACGAAGAGGAAGAGAACAGGAGAGGAGGAGGAGAAGATGTCGCCGCTGGTCTCGTGCCAGCGACTCACTGATTGGAAGGCGGCGGCGGGCCCTGAACCCCTCCTTTTCCGCCTTCTGAGGATTGCACCGCAGCCAACCAACTGGCTGGCCATCCGTTGAGATGACGCCAGTGTTACCCCTCCGCTGAATAAGGCATGAAGACTCGTGAGGAAGCTTAGAGGGATGATATTGGGTCCTGGCACAGCAGGTCATCAGTATCACCATCAGTGATGCTGGCCGACGGCATCAGGGGTCAGGGGTGTGTTGAGCGTATGGTGGCAGCGTATTGATGGATACAGTACAGAACAATACGCAACATAGATAAGATAATGGTAGAGAAATAGGTAGGAGCACCTTAGTATAATAAAAAGGAGGTGATTATAGGGATACAATAGAGTAGTAGCTACGAGCCAACCAGTAAAGTATGCCTACTTTCCACATATGTCCTACATTGTTGACAATAACGTCCAAGCAAACGTGTCTATATACTGCGTAAATTGCACGAAAGCCTGAACACTCTCGCTGCGAACCTATGATATCTAATCCATTGCATCCTCTGCAAGGAACAATATAACCTCACAAGCCATACACACAATAAAGTAAACATCGATATACTCCCACCATATAATACCCCGTATCAAACAACCCAATACAAACATCCATACAACATAGAATACACAGGACACCTCCACCCCACCTCCCTCACCGATCCCAATCCTAACCTCAATCAATCACATGTGATTCCCTTCAACAACCACTCACCAACCAACCACGTGACCAACCCAAACCCCAACCCTACCCCCTCCCACCTCGTCACCCACTAGCCCCTAGCGTCCCCACCCTCCAGCCCCTACATAAACCCCCCCCTATCCGCCCGCCCCCCCCCCTTCGCCCTCCTTTTTTTCTTTTCTTTTCTTCATCATCAGTAGCGGTTTACTTTTACCTTCAAGTAATTTAGTAAATCTTTTACCGGGGCTCCGTCACCGTACGGCTCGCTGAGGGTTATCTTGTGTGGGATTTTTTCTCTATGGGTTTCTCCTCCGTTCCCAGCCTTGCAGAGCAGTTCGTCTTCCTTTTTCCCTTACAATTCATGGCTTGGCTAGGGTTTTTTGTTCGAAAGGATAAAATCCCCATGCGCTTGAGCTGTGGAGGAGGCGGTACATTACATTCCTTTCAAACTTTGTTCTTTATGTTGAATGGGGTTTGATAGAGGATTATATAGAATCTTCGTAGATGGGTGTTGGTTGGCTTTGTCTTTGCTGTACATCTTATATATATTCCTCTATCGAAAAGTGATATTGGGGTGTATACATGTGCCAGCGGTGAAGTTGGGTTTCTTGAAATCCGTGTGTCACGTGGTTTCATTAGCTTAAGGGCTTGTGGTTGTAGCATATGGCATGCGCATTTGGGCCCAGGCTTATTGTCTATGCTGGAGTTGCGATACTACTACTGCTACGCAGTCTGTCTCATCGAATGGATTCATAAGACTGCCCTTGGATTGCACCAAGTATGATGATTGACTGTGCCAGTGCACCTTACTATATCGGGCACATGTCTACCTGCTGATTAAGGCTGATCTTATTCAGTTCTTCCGGATAAGATAAGAAAAGACACTCTTTCTCAATGCGGTCATCACTTTTATTTCATATCTCATACCAACTATACTCCACCCCAGCCCTCCCCCCCTCACCATTATAAAACGTATATATCTAAAAAGGCAGCTGCTACTACACCCGTCCAGCATTTCCAATCTGGATTCTCTCTCCCGACCACTTATCATCGCGACGCAACACCGGCCAGCTCGTCCCGTCGGCCTTGACCAGGGTCAGCTCCAACTTGGTGCCCAGCACGCGGAACTTGGACTGCTCGGGGTCGATGGGCGCAAACAACTCATATGAATCCGTGTAGCGCTTGTTATCCGTCGTAGGGAGGTCCAGCTCGATCGACGTGGCCTTGAACTCGACCTTGGCGGTGTCTCTATTAATCTTCTTCAGGTAGAGCGAGACGTTCACGGAGGAGGCGGTTTGGTAGAAGTCGTTCCTGTTGTTCATCCATAATATCTTAGTATACTCTTCCAATCCGCAGCAAGCGGCCGCAAGCTGTAGAGAGAAAGAGAGTGGTAGCTCACCTAACAGACTCGACCTTCTCTTCACCCGCCGGCTTCCCCTTCCCCACAAACAGATGCTTCTTCTTCTCCGAGCACCCCTGAATCTTCAAGAACTCATCAAACTCCAGCACCCGCTTCTTGCAGCATGACCAGCCCTTGCTTCCCTCGTGGAAGATCGGCTGGCCCGGGTGGTACACGCACTTCTCCTCGTCGCGCGAGACGTTCGCATCGTAGCCTGCATTACAACCGCGACGACGGCAGGTCGCGTTCGCGGGAATGGCTAGCTCCGGGTCATCGGACTCGGGTTCTTCAGGCACGGGGGTGGGCGCGTTCGAGGGGGGAGGGATAGCGGGGGAGTTGACGGGGCGGGGAGGAGCGGCGGCGGCGCTGGGGACGGGAGTAGCGGCCGGGGATGGGACTTCAGCGGCGGGTTTGGGAGGTTCGACAGGGGTGTCGTCGACAGTGGAGTGTTTGCCTGTGGTGCAGGGAGGGATGGCGAGGAATTCGTCAAAGGTGAGGACGCGGGGTTTGCAGCATTTCCAGCCTGCGGGGTGGTTTCAATTAGTAAGTTGGATCCGATCATGTTTTAAGTAGATAGATGAGTGGAACTGAGTCAGGAAGAAGATCAGATAGACGGTGGATCAACTAAACTACTCCCAAGGTCCCCCCTCGGAGTCCTCTGTTTAAATACCTTTCTGTCCTTCGTGGAACACCGGCGGGCCAGGATGATAGACGCAGGGCTCGTCGGCGTCGGTGAATTCCTTCCCGCAGCCCTTATGGACACACTTGGAGGCCATGCTGGGGGAAATGGGGTGGAAGCGACTGAAATGAGAGGAAGCAGAGCTGAGTAAGAGAGAGACCGACGGTTTAACGGTATCTCCTGGGGAAGAGATATGAGTTCTATGGGGGGGAAAAGATCGATCGTCGCAGACATCGAAGGTCGAAGAACCGCCGCTGAGGTTCGGCCCAAACGGGCTTAGCCGGGGGTGAGAGCTCGAAGGTTCCAGTCATTCAATCCATTCTTGCTCTTCCCCGCGATTCCATCTTCCAAGTTCTATACCCTTGATTGATTTACTTCAACTTAGTTGAGACAGCCCAATAGAGTCTGGATCTCCTTAACTTACGGCAACATGCTCCCCACCGCCGCCCGTCTCGCCGCTGCTCGCGTCACTCTCTTCACCCGCGCCAATTGCGGCCTCTGCGACACCGCCAAACTCACCGTCACGAAGCTGCACAAGCGCCGTCCCTTCGACTACACCGAGTTGGACATTCAGCTCCCAAGCAATAAGCCTTGGAAGGATGTCTACGATTTTGATGTTCCCGTGCTACACGTCCAGTCGGTCCAGACTGACGCGTCGTTGTCGGATCCGAAGAAGTTGTTTCATCGGTGGACAGAGCAGGAGATGGAGACATTGATCGACGAGGCGGAGAAGAAGCAGTAGCTGGAGACAGCTGTCTAGGGTTGTGTATATATATATACTGTAAATATGCATGTATTATGAGTTCTATCTTGATATTCGGATTTGTACGGGGGATCCGCAGCATTCGTATTGGTCGCCTTGGTCGCAGTGTATTCGATAGGAAACTCGGCTGGGTCACCGCACCCGCGATGACGGAGATCTACATAAGTCGATCTCAGTCAATGTACTAGAGGAGCTCGTGGGAAATTCAATTCGAAGTAGTAAGTAACTACTGATAGTAATGCTAATAATATGGGATTTTTTTCGGGGCTTAGTGCTGAAAATGGGCTGAAAATACTAGTATACTCCTAGCTATATATTATCCAAGTGATGGTAGCTGGGGTTTGGATACTATCTGATAGATACTATTGAAGTACTAAGTAGTTGTCGAAACGGCGTTTTTGCCAAGTACTAGTAGGCCAAGCGATATATCACTGGCTATCCAGCAGCAGGGGTGATTCAAATCTCTTAACATAAAGTAGATAAGCAGTAACATCAAACCGATTAATATAGTAGTATGTTCTATAATATTTAATCATAACTGCCATCAAACAAAAACAAAGGGTATCTATCAACATCACATATCATCTCCCACCAAATCAACCAACAAACTCTCAACCCAACCCAAATTCCTCCGTTGACTCTGACTCTGACTCTGACTTTGACTGTGACCCTGACTCTGCCTACGCCCTACCCCGGACGAATCCACAGCACCGCCACTCGTCCTCCCCACCAACCTCGCCCTCACCTCCCCATCCAACCCCATCACCATCGCATCACCCACATCCCGCTGCAACGCACCCGCCAGGTTTTCGAGCGTGCTTCTCCCCAACCTCGCAAAACGAGTATACTCCCCAGCTCGGAATCCTTCATACCTCGCCAACAAGGAGATAACCCTCGTCCAGGCCCTTTTCAGCGGCGCCACGCCCGGAATGGGACACAACCGCGCAGCCAGAATGACAATCCCACAGGCATAAAGATACTCCACGTTCTCCCAGTAGGGCGAGCCAGTACTGCGCCAGGTATCGTCCGGGCCGCCGTCGAGCAGCCCGTCCTCGGTTTCTTCAATCAAGTCGACGAGGGTTGCGGCAATGGCGGCGCATTTGAGGGAGGTGTCGCGGACGATGGTTACTAGTATTGGCGAGTTGATAGATGAAGAAGGATCAGTCTCTGACATGTGAGGGTGCTTGTTTGAGCGGCAGGGGCATTTGGCGGAGAGGGCGAGGCCAAGAGCTAAGAGAGGTCAATAGAGTCGAAGTTTGAGATAGAGGTAGCGGGCGTGCAGGGTGTGACGTTGGCGGCGGACTATGGGGTCGTCCGCTAGTTCGAAGGTCTCACCGGTGCGGAGGAATGAGGGTAGAGATGTTTGCCAGTCGTAGAGAAGAGCGTCTGTTTTGAGAAACGGGGAGATGTCCAGGGCGAGGAGTTTCTTCGCGGCGCAGGTGTCTGGTCGGGTTCTTGCTTCGGATTCCCAGGCAGTGATGTCTTCGACATGGGTGTAGAGTCTGGCGCATGCGACCAGGAACTCGATAATTGAAGGCCGGTCTCCACTGGAGTTGGGCGTCCCTCCGGAGACGGTGTCGATGTAGTCAGTGTCTAGGTGTGTGGGGAGGTGCACCTGGAGTGGGTTGTTGACTTGGGGCGGTAGGCCTAGCTGTAGTGCTAGCATTCGCTCTAGGATGATTGCGCTGTGCCAGAGCCTGCGGCCGAGTTCGCGCTGCTGTCTTTCTCGGCCGTTGCGGGCGGTTGCTTGGGACTGGAATCCTAGGGTTTGCATGGTGCGGATGGTGTAGCCGATCAGTGCCCAAGCTTGTTTGGATTTTCCTGTTGCGTTGAGGTACTTGCATTGCAAGAAGAGACATTGCACACGCACCCAAGGGGTGCTCTGCCAGTCTGGGCTGTTTGTCATTCTCTGGGCGTGGTTGAAGAGGGACTGCAGATAAGCTTCATCTACTTGGCGGTATCTCAGACCGGAGAGACATAGAATCATCATGAGTATGGCGTGAAAGCCACTCGACCCAGCGGTGAGGTCTTGCACGTCGCGGACCTTTTCACAGGCCGACTGAAAGTCTGACAGGTCGAAGATAGGCCAGTTCACGTAGTCGCGGGCCAGGTAGGTGGCGATCAGGCTGTCCATCAGATCTGAGGGCAGTTGGGCTGGAGATTCGGCAATGGTGGAGTGAGGAACGCAATCTGGCCCTGTATCTTGCAACGAGAATATGCCATCTTCGATTGGAGCTTCAGTCTTGACGCGGCCTGTTCTTGCATCTACGGCCTGCTGCAGCCGGGTCAGGCGCGCAATGTGGGCATTGATCCCGGTACCCGGAGTATTAGGAGGGTCGCTGTCATCTGAATTGATAGAATATACCTCCACCGAGTCATGTCGGTTTCGATCATGCCGGGGAGGAGAGGACTCGTCCCGCCGACGCTTCCTCTGGGAGCGCGGGGCAACATTGGAAGTATTCCGTGGCAGGATCTGCTGCCTCGGAGGAGAGGGAGAGCGACTCTCATCCTCTGAATGAGATATTTTGGCTTTTTTATGAGAGCTGCAGGATGTTAGTTGATTCAAAGATCATACTATACACGTGCAGACGTACGTGGCGGGAGGCATATCCTCGGGCCGGTAGGAACATTGTTCGTCGAGTCCTCGTTTCTTGCATCCTCCACAGGCTGGCTGGCATTAGCTCCACTTTACAATGGGTAAAGAGAGAGATCATGAACAGACTAGGTTGAGACCTGTCACATCCCCGCCTTTTTAAGCGGCAGACGCAACAGGGAGTTGGGGGAAGGTTCATGGCGCGGGCTGCGCGTTCGGGAGGCTACTTAGGAATTGAGTCTGTGTGATGTAGCGGTCGCATGTATGCCTGTTATACCGAGAAGATAATAATAAAGCGTTGATTTTAAATATGATATATAATATAGTCTGAATGTCACAGAGACCCGCAACCTACAATGAGTGCCGCAGCCTCTTTCTTAACTGAAGGATGGGAAAATACAAAGGTAACTTCCCGCGGGCGCGTCCGTCAACTGGTGTCACGCGTGGCCCGGGCTGCCTGGTGCTTCTGTATGTGAATCCAATCTCAACCTCAACCTGATTCCAACCCATACAAAAATAATGAAATAAATTTGTTACTATTATATGTCCGCCATTCCCAGTACTAGCCAAGTCCTCATGCCATCTCCTTTAACCATCACATCCATGGCTGCCCTCCTGAGGAGGGTCCACACACCCGTTATCACACAGCTTAGCATGGCCAACCTGGCCCGGATTCGTACAGTGGAAGAGGATGTTGGTCAGGTTTTGGTTCTCATATCCGGTGCCTTGGAGGGCGTCTGTCAGATCAGATTGAGAGAAGCCTATACCGGTTTCATATTAGCATCAGCTAGTCAGATGGAGAAGTAGATACTATATGACCTGATAGTACATATAGTTGGAATAGTTGGAGTAGGTCTTACCCTTATCATTCAACAGCACATCCGAGCAGTAATCAAAGCTCGGGGTGCAGGTCTTATCAGCCACAGATAGCCCAGTTAGGGTCAGGGTGAGGAGGGTGGCCAAGATGGTAGGTGGCTTCATTGTTATAGGGTATTCGGGTATACTAGTAGGATGTATTCGATAGTAATGGGAAATAGGAAGAAAGGGTGAACTTGGTCTAGCATGGATGCTGAATGAGTTTAAATATTCCTGTCTGATCACATTCCTGGTGATGTCTGCGCTGCGGGGATTGGAATGTGGACGTTGCTTGGTATGTCTCGTTTCATCATGATTTGAGATGACACTGTAGCAGTGAGTTTGAGCAGCTATGGTGGTGAAGACCGAGTATGTATGTGGCTTCACCCATTGAGATCTAGATTGGAGACTAGCATAGCATAGCACATCGCAGCGAGTCAGAAACCAGGACCGGTCATCCTCGGTGATCGCGCAACGCTGTTCTCCACTAATGGAGGAACCTCGGACATTGGGATACAGCGACACGCCATACCAGCAATGGCAACGGAGATCGACGGTGGCTGGATGACATCCAATGCCTAATGTAGTGGATGTAGTGGGGTTTCAGCGTGGTATCGATGCACTGTACTAGTATAAGTGGAGATATTTCCGTGCTTTCTATCGCTCCATCTTTCAAGTGAGACTCGGGGTGGAGAATGACAAGGATGGTATACCCGGCTTCATTTTGCGTCAACCCAATCACTTCTGTCAGCACCTCATGTTCTGGATAGGCAGAACTCAGGCTCGAATGCTGCCGTGGAGAAGGGTCTAATGCAGTGCTTAGTTGCTTTTTCCGCGGTTCTTTGTTCTCCTTCCTACCTATCACAACCCTGTCTCATGAGTTCTCACTAGTTTACTGAACCCTGCAAGCCTTGTTAGGCAGGATGAGACTAAACGCGTCTTGTGGCCGTGATTCGGGCTTTTGTTATGATGGGCTGTTCCCCTAAACTCACCGTGTCAGTCTAAAACGTATCGTTCTTCCAGTCTGTCAGTCAATCAGTCGCTCGTTACCTTTTCACTCGTTCAAATCCAAGGCTCTCCAACATGGAGAGATCCGATAGCATTTCCCTGCCCAGCATTGAGGCCCAGCAACCTCAAGGACAGGTCACTGACAAGAATGAGACCAAAGACAACAGTCAGAATGCAGCCATTACAGCTTCTCAATACCCTTCAGGGATCAAATCCTATCTCGCAGTTGCAACCTTGTGTCTGGCAATCTTCCTCGTCACCTTGGTATGCTATCCTCAGCTGGGTACCACATATACTAACGTGCAAACCCTACATCTAGGACAGCACCATCATCGCCACAGCGACGCCCTACATCTCTGACGACTTCCACTCGCTGGGCGATGTCGGCTGGTACAGCAGCGTCTACACCATGGTCATCTGCACGACCCAGCTCCTCTTCGGCAAGCTCCTTGCCCGCTACTCCGTCCGCTGGATTTACAGCATCTCAATGCTATTCTTCCTCGTAGGATCCGCAGTCTGCGGCGCAGCGCCCAACTCGCACTCCCTCATTATCGGCCGCGCCATCGCCGGCGTAGGCTGCTCCGGACTCCTAGTCGCAGCCTTCTCTCTCGTTCCCATCCTCGTTGCCCCAGCCAAACGCCCCATCCTCCTCGGTCTTCTCTCAGGATCCCGCGGACTCGCCACGACATTCGGACCTTTGATCGGAGGTGTCCTTACTGAGAAGGTCTCCTGGCGGTGGAACTTCTACATCAACCTCCCCATAGGCGCCGTCATCCAAATCGCCTTCTTCTTCCTCGTCCATCCACCAAAACGAGACCACGAAGCCTTCACCTCCTGGACCGAGTTCCTCAAGACCCTCGACCTCTTCGGTCTCGTAGCTCTCCTCCCATCCATCGTCTGCCTCCTCCTCGCCCTACAATGGGGCGGTCTCAAATACGCCTGGCAAGACGCCCGAGTCGTCGTCCTGCTAGTTCTCGCAGGCATCCTCGCCATCGCATTCATCAGCGTGGAGATATGGCAAGGTCCCAACGCGATGCTCCCTTCAAGGGTATTCACCCAACGCACCGTCTCAGCAGCATCCTTCTTCGGCTTCTGCACCGTCAGCGCCATCTTCGTCCTCACCTACTACCTTCCCATGTACCTCCCCCTCCCCTTCCCCTCCCTCCCTCTTCTCACAACCACCCCACAACTAACCCCTGGAACTTAACAACAGCTGGTTCCAAGGCGTCAAATCCGCGACCCCGATCCAATCCGGCATTTGGACCCTCCCATGGGTAATAACCAGCACGATCGTCTCCCTAGCGGGCGGGATCCTAATGTCTAAAGTCGGCCATCCGGACATATTCATGGGGATCGCCATAATCTTCGGCGCCGTGGGCTCAGGCCTCTTCACCACATTCACTGTCGACACGCCCACAGGGGAATGGATCGGATATCAAATCATCTTTGCCATATCGTCCAGTCTGTGTAGTGTCACCCCGTTGATGGTGGCGCAGCAGGCACTTCCCTTGAAGGATATTCCGATTGGGTCGGGGTTGGTCATGTTTTCGCAGACGGTGGGGGCGTATGTAAACCCCCTCCCTCCATCCCCCCTTTCCCTTTGTTCTAGGTGTTTTTTAAGAGACTGGTACTGATAAAGGTTATGTATGTTTGGTGTAGGTCCATATTCGTCGCCGTCGCCCAAGCGCTCTTCACGAACGAGCTCAGTGCCGGGTTAAAGGGGACTGCAGTGGGTGATGGACTTGACGTGAGTGGGTTGTTGTCTGGGGGGATTTCGACCCTTACGGAGGGGTTGTCTGGGGAAGCGAAGCGGGCGGTGTTGGTGGTGCTGAATGAGGCGTTGACGAGGTCGTGGCAGTTGGCGGTGGTGTTGGAGTGCGTGGCGGTGATTGGGGTGTTGGCGGTGGTGCAGGGGATGAGGATGAAGAGGGTTACTGCTGTTACTAGCAGCTAATCATTAGATGAGGGTTGAATTGTTGTTTTTTTGGGGGAATGGTGTTGGGTTGAGGTGCAGTGAGGGGAAAGGGGGTGAGATCAGTGGGGTTGTATAGGTAGTATATTAGTACTAGTAGTACTATATATGTTGTATGTTGATTGTGGTGGTGGTGGATGATAGTACTACATGGAAAAGAATATACTAGTATCTGAGGTGTGTGGACGTGAGTTGCTAGTACTTAAATAGCATGTGACTTTAATCTACAGCGCCGCCCTACTTCCTAATATATACGCATCTGAATACCACTGCAGTATCGCACGGTGAAGATTATTATATATTGATTGGCATACTGCACCCGACAGGCCAGTTCAGGCTGCTCCTATGTCCAGCCCATCCCATTCCTATATCCGATCCGTCCAACAGTCGTAAAGGCATGAAAAGAAAACAAAATGGGTGTCTCATCAGACTTCCCCCCAGCAAGTGATGTACAACGAAACCAAATACAGTGTGAGCGAAAAATCTGCAAACAAGAAATCATAATAAGCCAGCCAGCCAGCCAAACAACCAGCCAATCAGTTCTATGACTGAAGTGAGGATGGATGGGTCGGTGTGTTTAAAACCACATCACGCCCACCACTAGGCCGATCACTATGGCCATGCAGCTACCCCGGCGCATGTGCTCGGTCTCCTGCTGGAATCCCGCGACTTTGGACTGTCCGGCAGTCGGTGCGGTGCTGTTGGGGGAGAGAGCCGGCGGGGGCGGCGTGGCGATTGGTGTAGATGCTGATTGACTGGCGTCGTCAGCGGTGTCGTCTCTATTATTCACGACTACTGCTTTCGGGGGTATAGGTTGTTCGCGGGGTGTGTGGTTATGTGGGACTGTTGGATGTGAGGAGGTGGTGTGGTTGTCGTGTTGTGAGAGGTCGAAGTTGGGCTGGCGGGCTTGCCAAGCAGTCATGTTCTCCAGATACTCGCTCCCCGCGCGGCAGACCTGCTGCCATGAGGCACGGGACAACCCTAGCAACCATCGAGATACATCAACCACGCTGCTGGTGGCTGGTATCATGAAATTGCTGGTAGGCGACACCCCGAAAGGTCCGTCGTCGAGAGGAGCAGCTGGTGTAACTGAGGAATTGGTGAGGGCACTGAGTCGCGTAGGTAATTGCTCGATGGCATCACCCTCCGCTGCAAAGGTCGGAAGTGAATGCGACTCATCCGGCTGCCTGATAACCAATGCCTTAAAAGCGCGGACTCCCCGAGTGAAAGCCGAGGATTCTCGGGCCGGAAATGCCAAAGGATCGGTATCGAAGACGGCAGCAGCCTCAAAAGAGCTCCGAGACGGCGCGTCCACCGCACAACGTCGCGGACGAGCTTTGCGCTCATAGAACCCCTGATAATATCCATCTAGGAGCCATGGCTTCCAGCTACTCCCAGAAACCCGAGATCTTGTTCGAACATCGGCCCAGTTATCTTTTACCCGAGAGACATCTGCAGCAGCACAACCGTTAGCTTGTCTGACTCAGCCAAACACATGGGGGGAGAGAAAAAGGGGGAGGGGGGAATGATAGAAGAAGAAATGAGGAATGCATACGTCGAACGTCATTGCGATAGCCAATATACCCCAGGTTGACGTTGTAGAAATCCCATTCCTTTGCGAACGACGGCACCAAACTAAATAGCGAAAAGACCAAGAGAGCAAGAAATGGAATGGCCCCAGGTTTCTGAAGCCCCGACCGCATCATCCACAGTCAGCGACCGACGAAGGCCTGACGTTTGGGTTTCCAATCCACAATCCTCGGAGAGAAAAAAAAGAGGTATTTCTAACAGCCGATGAGGATCCCGCGTGCTTGAGAGGCTTCAAGAACGAACAGCTTCATTGCCAGCGAGGAAATCAAAATTAAAGGAAAAAAAAAAATAAAAATAGTGGAAATTGGAAAAGAGCTTCAAGGTTCGGAGGGTTTATGCAAGTAAGTAAAGAAGTATGTATAGATGCGTCGCAGCCTCGTTCAGTGTCTTCTGACAGACGTGATTGCGCGCGCAACCTTGGGGGGCAGGACCTCGTTCGGGTGCGTTTCTTTTTTCAGGGTCTTGCGCTGGATCTGCGGTCCTTCGCTTCTGGGCGATGATGTCGATCAGGCGGTCGGACGGTCGGGAAGGGAAAGCAGGCGCGTCCTTCTTTGCACTCGAGCCCCCGGCAACGAAGAGCAGAACAACACAACTTAATGTTGGTGGTGGTGGGGGAAGGAGGAAATCGACGTGGAGGACGAAGAGGGGAATCTGATTTGCGCGCAAGATCAAGATCAGCTGGAGATGGGATTGTAAAGATAATACTGCCGGATGCTGCAGGAGACGATCCCCGTCGAATGACGTAAAAGACAGAACCCAAAGGGTCGCAATGGCTAAAAAGGTTTGTTTCTTTGCTGGCGATGGATGGCCTCGCAGGTGGTGCGCCAAGAAGGGTCGTCGTCGTAATCCACCCTCGTGTCGATGTCGATGAGGAAAAAAAGTATGTATAGAAACAAATTGCCCGTTTGCGTACTGACTTTTCGCCTCTCGGTCACTCAAAGTTGCCCCCCTGCAGGCATCAGTCAATTCTATTTGCTCATTCACTCAACATGAAATATACATTCAGGAGTCAATGGGAAAACTGCTGCCTCGCCGGTAATCTATCCTGTCCTGCCCGGTATGGTATTTTACACCGGACCCTGGGTGGGGGGTTGCCTCAGGCGACAATGCGTTGGCCTCCACTGCAACATCAACAAGAGATCCATCGAATCCATCCGGCCGCATGGCCATTGGCTTGAGACTGACAATTGTTGCTACTAGTAACTAGTATCAAGTGTAGGTCCATTATTGTCCAGACAAGCACACACAAGTGGGTGGGGTGCATGACATCAACAACATCCTTTGTATCGCACAGATCTATCTATCTACACCATCACAACTGGCTGGTGGTCTGCCCTTCCCACCTGAGCTTTTCATCACACTTAATCGCTCATACTGACCACAGCTCCTCGTGAGCTAATGCCCAATTCCAATCTATCGCCGCAACTCCGTACAGAGATGATACAGACACGTACAAGTCAAGTAAAAGTTACAGGCCAAACGCTCCATGCGCGACTCCCCCGTAGGTCCAAGAAGAAGCATATACAGGTTGTAAGCAAAAAGGCATCATATGGGATTCATCATGGTGGGGTCGGGCACAGCGGGTGACATGCCCTCGCTAGTCGTCGGTTTGGTCGCGCGCGCCGGAGAGGAGCTGCTTTTCGGCACTCGCGCTGCCGGCTTCTTCGACGTTGTCTGAGAGGACGGCGTTCGAGTGCCCTCACTACGCTCCTCCCGAGGTGTTTTCAAAGCCGTGGTGCTATTTCCCGCACTGCTTGCGTTCCTTCCCCGCTTCACCATCTTGCCCAAAATCCCCACAATCTCAGCCGCATCCTCGAAGCTCTCGTCGTCCATGCCCTCCTGCGCATTGTACACATCGGCAATGGCTTGCTTGGCCAACCGTCGACAGGCATGGGCGTCATGTAGGCAGTCGTAGAGGTAGGCAGCAAATTCGAGTTTGATGGACAGGCGGAGTGGGTGCGAGCCTGGGAGGAATTGATCCGCCAAGAGTGCAGCATGATTGAAGCATGCGGTAGCTGTGGGGGTGTAGTCGAGTGCAGGGAGGAGAAACGAGGAGGTCGACTTGGGCGGTTGAACCGGCGCGAAGCCCGGGGGTGCCTGCGTAACCTTGCCTCGTGGCGCACTATCCGAGGCGGAACTGGGCTTCCCGGAAACCGTTATCGTATCGGGCTTCAGCTGGAATGAATATCGCGAATTGGAATCTTTGGATGGTGACTCGGCTTCAGTAACGCCATTGAATAGAGGTGTACTACTGGGCAGGCTGACGATACCCGGCGTGTGGACAGCAGGCTGATTCTGAAACAGGACGAATATATGATAGAAGGAGGCGCGCAACTTGTAGGCTAGAATCTTGAGTTCCATACATCCCTCAACCAGGGGCAGGACAAACTCCTCTAATATCAAAAGACCCTCGCGGGAAAGCCAGATGATATGGTAATAAAGATGAAGCGATTTGGTCTCCCGAGTCGGGTCCAGACGTCGCAATCGTCGTGCACGGAGGAGTTTCTTTGATAGCATAACAGACAACCCGAGAATCTTGTACAGCGTCGCGGACAGGAACGGGTTCTCGAGGCCCGTCATGGCCGCAAAGTTGCCCAAGGCCTTCTGGTCCACTTCGGAGGAAGCCATCCACAAAGCAAGGGAGCCGGTTTCTATCACAGGGCAATCCACTGCCAAGTTAGTCATATCCATGATGATCTAGTATATAACAGAACAAGTTTCGAACAAGTGTAACCGAACAACAACTTTAGAGGGGAAGACCGATCCCACAGCATCGGGCCGTTTAAGAATTCTCAGTCAATGGCGGCAGCTTGCCCACCGCGCTCATATGAAAGATAGATGCATCGGAGTGAAACATGCAAAGCGCCAAGGGGTCGGGAGCCTTACCTCGGACGCGCGCGCAAACGGTTCTTAGAATTGGATCAGCCGTCGCATGCACCAAAGCTTCCCATGCTCGTGCTGGCGCCTAAAGCTCGATATGTTTGGGTATTAAGTTGCCAGTTCCGCAATTGAAATCCTCAATTGCAAGCGCAGTCCTTCGTTGAATGCGCCCGTCTCAAAATCAGACTCGTCGTATCTGTGGCTTGCCCACGCCTCTCGGTGCCGCTTCCGAATAGGACTGAATAACCGATCAGTTGTACATGCAGAGACTCCTAGTGACGAAAGTACAAAGCCGCCAATTTCCACCGGAAAACAAAAGCAAGTATGTTACATATGTCAGCAATTAGTGGTCTTTAATTGGAGAATCAGCGAGGATCAGGTCGCGGGTGTACTCCGTAGTGCAATCAGACTTAAATAGCAAATCGTTAACCCGAAAAGGAAACCATCCAGATCAATTCTTTTAGATGAGAACTCTCCTCAGCCTGCAAGGCTATGCTAGCAGAAGAATGTGATAGTCAAGCGGGCGTGGGAGCACAAAAGGGTATAGGTGGGATTTAGGAACGCAAGGCACGGGGAAGGGGGCATTCGAAACAACAAAGGGCAAGGAACTGATCGTTGTGAAATAGAAGGGAGTCTTGATGCATCGTGTGCAACTAGGCGAGGTAAGGCGTTAGTCTGTGCTTCTTGCCAGCGATGGGCGGGCACCGCCCACGAGTTTGGGGCCGGAAGTGATGGCAGCTATCTCGAGGCTTGAAGTCGCTATCCCATGAAACGAGCCTGCTTGGGTGAGGCAACAGAAGATATAACCACAAAAAGTCAATGTTCTGAAAGTCAATTCTCGTCCCAATTGAAGTTGGGCACTCGGTCGCAGCTGCGCGAGAATGTGGGATTAGAGCGATAATGAATGGATGTGCGGAGCAATAATGATGCAAGGGCAGGTTATCTGCCCCGTTGATATTTCCCTGGCCACAGCCAAGTGGATGAAGCCACGGCAGTGCGGAGGTATAATGCCGTGCGAATCAATGCGGCAAAGCTCCACTATACATATAGGGCGAATGGACCCCCGCTTCTGTAGAAAGAGAGAGTACTCCGTGAAATACGATCAATTAGAACGCCGTCAATTGGTTTTATTAGTTCCTGCTGTGCTCGTCAATTTTCATTCTGCCCTCGCCTCCGTTCCAAGCGGAGATGAGACATCGGGCACCAATTGCAGCCACGGTGAGGGACGTCATTTCTGGGTGGCCACCATCACCGAAATTGAAAAAGGAATTACGAAGGGCAATGTGGCATGTTGGATGATGGTCCCGTCCCTAAGACTTAGTAGGCATTAGGCGGAAGGACAGCGCATCAGCTAGTTCGATACGTGTCAGAACCCAACTGCTGATTTCCCCTGCCGTGCAGCTTTTGATCCAGCCGGGAGGATGAGATAGGAATAGCACAGTGGATCAGCTGTCGCCAGCCTCTTCTTTTTTGGCAGCCAAAAGTCACACATGGCCTGCGAGCAGTGTTGCAGATGGAAGGACCAGCGCGGGTCCAAACCCATCTTTCTATGCATGAGCGAGCCGCCACTGAGCCGGGTCGCTCAACTAAACTGCAAGCGTGGAAATTCGGCGCCCGCGCGCTTCTTAGCGTTAGGCTTTGCATGAGGATGCCGGCAGCACTGGATGATGACAGTTGGCGGCCATCTGCCAGCGTGGCATCAGAAGCATCTGTGCGTCTTCCATGGGGCTGTGTGGAAGGTTGGCTCCTCGATCGGTTTCAATTACAACCGGAGATGAAAGGAGATGATATCAGTGGCTCTGTCATACCACAAGCACAGGACTGATTGATCATTTAGATGGGGGTGGATGGATGAATGATGACCGACAGCCTGCATCTGCAACAGTTTGCCGCGGCAGTTCCCCACCGCCTCTTCCGAAGGACAAATGAGTGGAAGCAATACGAGCAGCGATCTATTTCCAAAAGTGATCTTTATGACTGAAGCACTATATACATTGCAGCAACACAGATAAGCTAAGAGCAAGGGAAACGTCGCAGCCATAACGTCGTATACCTCCTGTCCAACTCGCCCGTGAACAGGCAAGCAGGTACCATTATTCTATATCATCAAGTTCGTCACGGTCCAAAGTTCCGACAAAAGCTCTCTCCAAGAATGCTCTCCATGTTCGATTCTTAGGCTTCTTATGCTTCTTTTTCTTCTTCTTCTCGACTTCTAATTCGTCTCCGATATCGTCGACGGTACCAGAAGCATTCGCGTCGAGTTCTCCGGCGGTCGCATCCTCAACCCAGATATCGTTTTTACCCGCCTTGTTCTTAGCAATTCGCTTCGCCAGCTTGAAGAAGCTCCGCACGGTGAGATCCTCCATCTTGTAGATCTTGTCATTTCGGGTATCGTATTCGACCTCGAACGTAAAGACATCTGCCAGATTCAGCTCACGAGCGCCATTGTCTTGGTCAGAGTCAGAGAATTCGTCTGCCGACGTTTGGTGGCGTTGCGCCATCTGACGGTTGATCTCGGTCAGATTGGCAAAATATTGAGTGTATCCAAGCCAGGTCAATGCCTGGTTAGAGTATGCCGGCCCCGGAGGCGCAGTCGGTGATGGGGGCTTGGGAACCTTGTCCTTGGACTTTTTCTTCTTCTTGTCGGCCGAAAGTCCATCCTCATCGTGGACCACGTTCGCCATACCCAGGTTGTTGTAGGTAGGGGCGTCGGCCGAAATCTTGGTCTCTAAGCCACTAATGTTATACTCGACTACCCGCAGCGTAGGAAAGAAGTTCGGCACCACACTCGGTGACACTAACGACACACTGTACCTCTCGGCCCAGGGGCCGCCAATCTTTTTGAGAAACTTCTTCTGCTTCTTGGGATTTGAGCTCTTTGAGCGCGTCGCAGCTTCCTGTTCCTCTTCGAACCATCCATCTGCCAGAAAGCTGCCTTTCGGCATACCATCAGGTGGAGACGGTAGACTAGACCAGTCTTTCCTGAGACTGGATAGATAGTCATAACGAGACTGGATGGAGATCTCTCCTGAGTCATCGTAAAGATCGGACGAGACAATGGACTCACTGCTGGCAGTAATGTCCACTTTGCGACTGTCCTGCAGCATGAAATGATCGATATTCATGTGCCCGTATGCACTGCCAACGACGACGTCACGGAATCTGTTCACGTATAGTGTATACTTTTGCCAGCATGTTTCATCCCAGCTGCGCTTGCTGCCAGATCTTGCCGGAGGAACATGACCTATCAAAATGGCTTTCATGTCACGTGTCCGCAGCATCTCCAGTTGGATCCGAAGCCACTCCATGTGCTCATAGCCGGGCTCCGATTTCGCATCGCACCCATCGACGGCAGAATTGGAGTCGAAGAAGTATAGAGTGTTCAAGCTGATAACTGCGAGCTCATCGGGGATCACCTCGGAGACAAACCAGCCGCCTTCGACAAAACTATGACGTTGATGCTCGGGGATAAACTTGTGCCAGACTTCGCGGTACTTCTTCGTCCACCGGTTCGGACCGGTCTTCATGATATTATGCGGCATTACATCGTTATTCCCGAAAGTCGGAACAATGGGGATGGTGTCCTTTCCGCTAAAGACCTCGGTGAATTTGTCCACCATGAACTGATTCAAGCGGACGATCTCATCTGCCGTGCGGGGATTCCTCTCATCATTGTCATGCCGTGCAGAGTCACCGGTCCAGATGACAAAGTCAATCTTGTCTTTAAGGTTGTTCTCGATCCAGCGAAATGTCTCGTTAACGAGGGTAATTGGCGAGTCGCATTCAGTCTCTTCGGCGCCATAGTACCCGGCGGAGCCCTCACCTCTGTGGCAGCTCTTTTCGTCGGATGTTCCGGGCTCGTAAAGGGGGTCTGGATGAAGATCTGGAAATGGTTAGCCTGTCCCTTCTGCCCTCTTTCCTCTGACATCGAGTAGGTTAAGAAAGGAAGAGGTACCTGTTATGTGCAGAAAGCGGCCTGAAAGTGTCCGGAAGGACTCTGCATCGGCATTTGGTTGCTCGAACTGGAACACATCTTGGAGACCGTCACCTAGAGGTTGCTGCTCCACAACCGGGAAGGCAGAAACATAGATTCCTAGCAGCGAGAGCGCTGAAAGGAGACGAGTCGGAACCATTGGGAAGACTGTGAGTAGGAGGCGAAACCCCGACGATGCGGGAGACCAGTTAACCTTGATCAATAGAGTCAGACATGAAGCACACAGTGAGCACGCGACACACTATGTGAAAAAGCCAAAACGAAGCTAAAAACAAGACCAAAAAATAGCGATACCGGGGGTAATTTACATGAGATGGAGGATTTGTTGAACTGGATCGTCGACGACGTCACAGCTACCGCCCCGATGCGGAAAAGCGCGAGGTAGCGTGTGGACCCACTTTGTTTTGTTTGGAACCCGACCAGCAGAGCAGAGGAACACGGGTGAATTGGCTGGCATTTAAATATTGACCCTGCGAGAGACACACCATTGCTTTGGACATCTGACTCCGGAGTATCAGTCGGACTCAATTCAACAGGTCAGCTGTTGAGCATACCAGAAACACAAATCAGCGCTGTATGGAGTAGCAAAGATGCGCCGCAGTGTCAGTCAAGGTCCTCCCCCTAATGTAAGGTACTCGCAGCCTGTACCGTCGTCTAAACGGCCCACGTGCCTGAAACCGACAATCAGATTGTCGGAGGGTCTTAGTCATCGACTGCATTTTGGGGTTCTTTTTCCTCTTTTCACCCCCAAGGTTGACGCGCTGGCCGCACTGTCATCCGAGCCAGGTTTAACTATAGTCGTGATAGGCTGTGTGGTCCTGATCTACTGGATAGTGGAGGACACTATGCTGCCTCTGTACCCCATCTTCGGGTGGTCTCTGGTTCATGATTAGGTGATTGAAAGTGTTACGATTTGGTAACTAGAAAGTCAGCTTTTACATACTAATAGAGTCATCTGGTAGACAAACAGGGGTCTGTAAGGAGATGTTGCAGTTGGCTAGAGCACCTGATGGTGTGCCATCCGGCCCACAAGAGCAGACTTGGACAAGTATCAGTGGTACGAATGTGAATGAGGAAAGCTTCGTAGTTCAGAAATAATAATAGTTGAGAGATATTAGCCAGATCAGGCAACCCTGTCAAAGCATGTGACTTTGAGCTAAGTAGCTTTTCTAAGCTTTCTAGTTGATAGTCGTAGTGGTACCTAATGCTCACTTTTCCGTCCTCTATAGTTCTAGACAGTAAATAAACTGCCCGAAGTACCTTAACCCGCGGCGATCAGAATCACTCCGGGTATCACCGTATGGGGGATCGCCATAGGCTGGCCGTTGCTTGTGGAACATGTGTCCCTGACCCCTCACCGAGGAGCGGGGCTTAACGTCCGGAATTTATCAGCTGCTCGACTTCTTCCAACACGCACCAAGAGCATAATACAGATTGACACAGCTTTGGAACATCGTCGCATCAGTCAACTCGAACTAAACATGTCCGAATTCCCTACCCTCCAGCCCGCCTTCACCTTCAAGGTACAGTCTCCGATACAGGACCTCGCGTGCTTAAGCACAACTAACATTGTCCCCCAACATAGGTCACAATCGATGCTCCGCTAGGCGTCGGTAAGTCCTAAAGATACATACCAAGCAGACAAGGGCCATAGCTCCAGGAAACTGGCTAATTCCTTCAAGGCAGCGCATCTCGGCAGAACAGCCTGCAGGTCGTCGTAAGCAGCCACCCAATCTTCCCTTCCTTCTCACAAGACCATCCCACTAACCATCCAGCATGACTGAAGCCCATGACCGGCGGCACTGTCCAGAGCGCGCCTGGATTCTCTCCTGCTCTTGACGCCGAGTTCGTCGGTGTTGGCAACGACTACATCCATGCGGATGCCGACGGCAAGCACCTGCGCCTGGATGCGCATGGCGTAATCAAGTACGTTATTCCTTTGTTGCAGATATACGCTTCATTTCTAACTAGTGAGTTACAGGCCTAAGGATGGCGATGATGTACGTAACGGGCTCTTTAACTCCCTCGAGAGTAGCAACTAACGCCAGTCATTTACTATAGCTCATCTACCTGAACTACACTGGTGTCTGCACCCTGCTTCCCGAAGTGCAGGCCGTCTTCGCCGGAGCTGCTCCTGATGGCTCGACTCCGTTCAACAGTGCTTGTAAGTATCTTACTCACACAAAACGACAGCAGAGGCTAATGCTAGTATTCCAGTCACGCACATTACCTTCGAGGTGAGATATACCGCATTCCAGCCCGGATAACACGAACACTCCAAACTAACAAACCACAACAACACCACAGACCGGCAGCGAACGCTACAAGGAGCTCGAGAACCGCGTTTTCATCGCCCAGGGACGCTTCAACATCGAAAAGGGCAAGCCTACTGTGGTCGAGTACCGTGTCAGCCAGGTTGTCCAAGGCTGAACCAGCAATCAGAAGATAACTAAGACCTGCTAAATAAATGCAAGCCAGTCAAATTTTCATAACATTGACATAAAAAGCTCTCCATACATCCCCCTTATCCCTTGTGTAACCACAACCCAGATTATCACATTCACATTCACATATCACATATCACCCACCCCCCAACAACGGCCTCCTCTCATCCTCCCCACCATCGCAACCATCACCAGCCCTCCTCCCCCCTCCCGCCCCTTCCTCATCCTCCCCTTCTCCAAGTATACCACCACCCCCATCCCTCCCCCTCCTACCACCACCCCACCGCGAAAACACCACCACACCCCGCCAATTCCCACCCCTAATCCCATTCCCAAATACAACCGGTAACCCCTTCCACCCACCCCTCCTCCTCACCCCCCTAACAACCCAAACCCCCAAAGCAATCAACCCTAGCACAGCCAACGTACCCAGCACCCCCACCACGCCCGTAAGAAACGTAGTCGTGCTCACATAGCACCCGAAGGGTATTGCGCGGAGCTCCCACCGCTCTTTGGACCCGAGCGGGCAGATCTGCGATGAGTGTAGCGGGGAGAGAATGGGTAGGAGGGATGGGTTGGGGACGCAGGTTGAGGACTGCATTTTCTTTTTGTAAGTGGTTCAGTTTGGGGGAAAAGAGAATGATGAGGGACTTACCACCGCGCACCAGCTACAAGGTACATCGCCTTTCAGGCAGGTGTTGCATGATTGTCGCCGCCAGCAGAGGTAGAAGAGGGGGTCGGTTGCTTGGGAGGCGAAGCTGGAGGTGTTTGTTATTTGGTCCATTTGGTTTTTGGGGATGATGGAGTGTAGGATGGATGGGTGGATGGATTGATTGATTTCTTAAAATTTCTTATCGCATGATGGAATGTGATGTGATGGTATGATGGACCCTGTCGTTAGGATTGTTTTGTTTGGGTGATGGGCTCGTGCGGGGTTTTCTTCTGTTCCTGGGGTGGTGGTACATTGGTAGTACTACTACTATTATCTAGTAAGAGGCCCGTTCGGAGGATCCCTGCTTTGTTGCTGCTACTACTACTACTACTACTACTACTACTACTACTACTACTACTACTACTACTACTACTACTACTACTACTACTACTACTAGTAATTCATACTGTTGTTTCGCTTGTGATAAGGCTATTGGGTTTATGTTGTAGGAATGGCGCTAAAGGAATCTAATGCTGCGCTGGTTCACTTTTGGTTGTATACATGCTTCGTACATTTGGATAGTATATCCCAAGGTAATAAGAATCATCCAGATGATTTTATTTGGTCAATTGGGATTGGAAGGAAAGAGGGAAAAGGTTCCATAATTTCAGTTATAAGAAGAATGTCAAGGGTATGATATAATGCCCTTTACAATTATCACGCTCGTAAGATAATCACTCTAGACAACACGCTTGACCTGTTCATCACTCTATTGTTAGCCTTATTCACCTGGCTACACAAGAAGGGCTTCACTAACCTCGAAGAATCTCTTGAGCCACCACACCTGGAAAATACCCTCTCCGATCAGCACAGCCAGCTGGAAGATACTCCACCACTTCACACGGGCGTTGGTGCTCTCGGCCGTGTTCCGGTGAACCCGCTCTCTCACAACAATGTACGACTGCTCATCCTTAACTTGTGCCAGGGCCTCCGAGAGCTTGCGGACTGTAACGAGGAATCAATAGCGGTTAGCTCATACGGTCGCCGAAGACTTGTATAGGCGATTTCGGGGTGTTTGCAATCCTACCTTCCGCCTCCAAGGGATCCTGCGCCAATTCCGATTCGGGAACGTAGACAATGCCGTGAACGTTGAAAGAGACTTCCTTGGAGTTCGAGGCCCATCCTTCGTTGCTGAAGCAGTAGACGTATTTGCCGTCCGAGTGCGCGTTGAACGAGTAGTCCTCCGACGAGATGGCGTGCTTGTAGTATTGACGGTTACCAAGGGGGTCCTCGACCTGTTGATGTCAATCACATGTTAGTGACTATATCCCTCAAAGTAGTTTCGTGTCCTTGCAAGCTCGATTGTATATCAAAACATCCCAAACGGTATCCGCGCGGAGATTGACAACCCGCATGCTGCTCAGGGAACCTACCCAGAAATCGATCTCCAGGTTGCCACTGCCTCCGAATTCCCGGTCTCCGACTTGGAAAGAGACAGTCATCTTGTCATCCTTGTGCAAGGACTCGTGGAAGCATTCGCGGGAGTGAGCCCGGAGCTGGATGTTGTGTGCGGTCACGGTGGTGAACCACGCCAGCGCCGTGATCAGGAGGGTCGTTGCGGAGAATCGCATGATGGGTAGGGTAATTCGCTGTTGATGACTCCAAATCCGGTAATAGGTTGGTGGAGTTCTCCTCGAAAAAGATCCAGGTGAGGTGGTGGTGGTGGTCGGGCTTGCTAGGTGTGCTTCGACTCCCGACGGGCAAGGTGGTCTCTGTGCTGCGCTGGGAATTCTGGACGCTCGGACCACCACCAGATCACCCGGCACTAACTGGACTAGTCCTGGCTGGGTTCGGAGTCTAGAAGGGCGCGATGCTTCTTTCTACTACTTCGACTCTCTCTTATCAACCATATCTAGAGTTCAATCATTCCTTTTTGTCTTGATCTGATAAATTTGAATTTAAGAGTTCAGAGGTGGCGTAAGGGATACACCACAGACATTCTGGGGGCTAAATGGCCTCTACAGACATACATACATAGCTTCACTGCGTCTGTGAACACTAAGAAATAGAAGCATCATAAAAAGGCCTCAGGGATCATGAACAATTCATGGCCAGGTGTAGGAGGCACACTCACGTTCTCCCTCATTGGTTGTCTCCTGGTTTTGATGATTGATTGCCCTTGAAGATCGCAAAGGGACAGGTCTTTAAATATTTGACGAAGCACAGTGAGCCAATATTAACTGCACCGGACCTTTCGAGTTTGCTTGCTCGTATATAGTACCCGAAACCGACGACTTAAGAATAATGAGCTCACATTTCCCAGCTTGTGTCTAGAGTAATAGCAAGATACTGCCTCAACCCGGATGAAGGGAGGACAATCAAGTAAGCGGTCTAGATCAAGACAATTCGCGGGATTCAACCTTGGTAATAGACGCGCCACTGCGATGAGTAAGGAAGCTTCTCTTTGGTAACAATGATGGATCAGGAAGTGGGAGAACGAATATTGCGGGATTTTTCTTAGCAGCAACAATAATGGTCTTTCACCCACCTGTTCTTGAGTGAACCGTGGCTCATATTTCCAGGGTTCATGGCCGGTGTACGCGTTATAGGGCCCTCTTAATGACATCATCTGTGGTCTGAACTCCTGGTGATTGATTGATGGTGGCCAAGAGATGATCTCTCATTAAATTTATTGATGGAAGTGGGGAGGGATTCGAGAAGACGAGATCGTCGGACATGGGAAGTTCGCCTCACATTATTATAATTGGGGGATGAAACCGGAACGGAGGCCAATCTCGCAGAATTTGAGTGGGGAGCTTTATTCTCTTTGCTTCTTCCTAACGATACTAGTGTTTCGATTCTGGCTGTGGTATAGCCAGAATTAGATCGGCGAGATAGTGCATACTAAAATGCCCAGAATAACTGTGCGATCAGTAATATTTCTGCAGTGAAGGGAACAAAGAAGAATAAGCAAGAGTGATTTGGGACGGTAATGGGCTGGAGAGGCCCAAGGGTCCAGACCCTGCCGCCTGCAGTGGAGATCTTAGCCGGAGACCCCGGAATGGCAGGGGTGGATAAAGGACCCCATTAACATCCAGTGTAGTATCTCAATTATTCCACTGGGCGCCTTCTGGCTAACGTCCCTGGCTTGGCCACTGTAGATGGACCCTTCAAGAGTCTGGTCACTCCAACAATGGTCTCTTCCGGCGATTGAATCCCTGGCTGTGAAGCGCCAGTTCCCTTCCCTCAATTGACTTTCGGAGTTGTTCCCACTGGGAGGCAAGTCTAGCTATTCATTCATTGTCTCGTACCCCATTTGGAGGTACCCTGTACTGTACAAGTAAGTATGACTCTACAGTCTTTCCGAGTTCTGACGTTTTGCCGTGCAACTCCTTCTTACTTAAGTCCTGCCAATCCTTCCTCTCTTGTTCTTTCTATTTCGGTTGCTTGCATATAGTCAGGAACGAGCCATCCTTTTACAGAGCTTCCCCTGTTCTTCACTCTCCTTCGAAAGAAGCCAAACCTCAGGTTCTGACTTCCCACACTCTCTTCATATACCTTGTCCTTCCCTGAGCAGCTGCTCTTGCTACTTCACCAATCGGTATACATCGCTCGAAACCTGTCACTGAAATAACCGCGCCTTCCAGCATGCGTGTCTCTACTAGCTTGCTTCCTGCCCTTTTGGCAGCAATCCCGGCTGTGTCCGCTAGTGGCACCCTGGGTCTCGCCATAGGTAATAAGAACACTGATTCCAGCTGCAAATCTACGAGTGATTACGAAGCCGACTTTGATGCTCTCAAAAGCGTGACGACTATAGTCCGCACATACTCAGCCAGTGACTGCAATCTTGCTCAAAATATCGTACCCGCTGCAAAGGCCAAGGGATTCAAAGTCGTTCTGGGAGTCTGGTACGGCAATGTCATCAATTGAATCGTTTACATGGACTCCGTGAAGCTAACTTCTGGTGTGTTCTAGGGCGGATTACGACCAGTCTTTTGACCAGGATTTCAACGCCCTGAAGCAGGTCGTCCCTGGGAATGAAGATGTTGTGTCTGCTATTACTGTAGGCTCTGAGGTTCTCTACCGCGGAACTCTCACTGCGCAGGCACTCCTGAGCAAAATCCAACAGGTGCAGAACCAGTTCCCCTCGGTTACCGTTGGCACCGTTGATAGCTGGAACAAATTTGCGGATGGCACTGCCGATCCCATCATCCAAGGAGGGGTCACTTACCTGTAAGCCTCCCTTTTCCGATCATAGTCGTATTCTGAATCTCAGTTAACCATGATGATTTAGTTTGGCCAATGGATTCGCCTACTGGCAGGATGTAGACGTCAACAGTGCTCCCAGTACCTACTCCTATGACATGACGCAGGCCGAGAACCATATCAAGCAGGTTGCCGGAGCTAATGCGGGCAATATCCGCTTTGGAAATGGGGAAACTGGCTGGCCCACCGGTGAGTTATATTGACAACATCACCCAACCTCTTAGTAGAGATGCAGAAGAACTGATGAATTGCTTATTCTAGACGGTGGATCCGATTATGGTGCTGCTAAAGCTGGTACTCAGAATGCTGCGCAGTATTACAAATCAGCGGTATGCCCCATGCTGCAGAAGGGAACCGACGTCTTCTATTTCGAGGCCTTCGACGAGGTGTGGAAGCCCAACAGCACGGGTGACAATGGCCAGTCCATGGACGAGAAACACTGGGGACTTTTCGATGCTGACCGCAAGCTCAAGTTCGACGTGACCTGTTGAAACCCGAAATAGAATAAGTCTGATGCTGCACCTCCAAAAGTCTGGCGCACAGTGACTTGATCTGTTATATATGTATCTACTATTTCTCGGGCAGCCTTTGCTGTGCTATATGTATATGTATCGAATCCATGTTGAACATCGAGGCAAGTCTTTCAAATCTTGGGAGGATTTCTCTAGTAGTATTTGATTCGGCTTGTAGAAATTCCGCCACAGAGATACGGAGAGGCAGATGGATTCGCAACTAGACATTATGCAGTAGTCAGATACCGGGAAGGAAGATGCGACGGCTATCAAGACGTAATGGACAGACATTTGATGAGAGGTTTAGATAGAAAAATCAGAAGTGGTGGCTGTCGCGCATGGGGCTATAAGTGTCATGGCAGTCTGACACCGATGACATGGCTGGGCACAATTGGAAGATCCCCAATTGGGAAAGTTGTTAGCTAAGTCACGGGCAACCGAGGGAACCGTGGTTCGGTTGAAGTAGCGTTGTTTTACCCCTGAATGCAGACACGAACCACAGGAACCCACGCGTCAACCAAGTAATTGTTATCTATTGGGGGAAGGGAAGCAACTGGTTCAGGGGGGGAAACAAGAATGGAGAATGCACAAATCTGGGGGGGTGACATCCAGTCGGGTATCCATCTAATATCTTTATTGTCAAAGGCTGGCGGGTGGATGCCATATTCCACAGGCAGGCTGGGGAGAGAGAGAGAGCAGCGAGGGAAGATCCATCAACCTGCAGGCTGCCAGACAGAGAGGGTCTTTCCAGACGGATACTGTTTTGCTCCCAAACTCAAGGACCCCCCGCGCCTTGCAGAGCATAGAGTTGATACCCACTGACTCGCATGAGTTTTGGGTAAGGTTGGTACCTACAGACAGCCGGGCACCACGTACGTAGATGGCGGTCAGAGATGAAGATCGGGTTGAGCTGGCCAGCTTGAGGCACTATGCCAGGCTAAGGACCACCACTATCCCCAATTCATGCTTAACCGGGTTCACTAGTTGTCCAACTAAGGCCAAAACTTGAAGGTCGTGAGGCCAGAATCCGCTCCCAATGCGGATATCTGGTTACCATACCATTACTTCTTCCCCAACGGTCGCCCTCGCAGCTCTCCACTGTCTGATTAGGTAGTTTAGCGTTAAGTTTTTTTGTTATTTTCACGCGCCTGTGCAGCTTTGAAAGTCAAAAAAAAAAAAAAAACGGACTTGCTTGCTGGCGGATCGTGACATGGCCCCAGACTGATTCGATCCAACTCCAAGGAAAAGGGAAAAAATAAAATAGTTGCCAAAAAGCAAAGAAAAAAAATTCATACAGGAAAAAATTAAGGTCCGCCTCTCAATTACTTACTCTTTGATTACTACCACGACCACCACCACTACCACTTTCATCCACCATCACTAGTCGCAACGCTTGATCCTTGTCTTCTTCCAACTTCAATCCAGTTGTCCTTTGTGGATGCGCCATGCCCAAGTTCCTCGCATACCTTAGGTATCTGTGATCTGTTGTTCATCCATTCGCTTTCTCTCTCAATCTCAATCTCTCTCTCCCTCTCTCTCTCTTTCTGTCCTCGATCCGTCGCCCGCAAGCCGCGGATGTCTGTTTGGGGATCTTCTTTCGGAACTACCCACCGCCCCTGAAGATTATTCCTCCCCCTCCACCCTCCCTCCCCCCAAATTCCACGGTGTTATAGGTACCACTCACTGGTCGCATTTTCTCCCCCCAATCGCGCTCTCGTCCAAGCGTGTGATTTGTCTCGTCCCTCCCCCTCCTTTCGTGTGTCGATCACAGCTCATCGGCGAGGTGGATTCGGTCTCAGCGCTTTGATTTCCATGCTTCAACATTCTGGACGATAAGGGGAGCAGCAAGCAAGTGCTTGCTGCAGGAGTCGAAACGGAAGGTGTGTCTGCCTGTCGAAGTGTTACCTTGGCTGCATCAATCCCACATTTTCCAATTCATCTTCCCTCCCCATCCACCTCCCTATGGCGGTGTCTCCTGCCAGTCATCTTCCTCGTTCCCGTCACACCTCCAATCTAGTAGTCCAGAGGCTAATCGTATCTCGATGCTGTTGTACGTTTAGATCTAGGTCCCTCCGCATCTTCCGCCAACTCGGCGCTTTCGCCGTCGCCGCAGCACTCTACAGATCCGTCCGTCCTCCGTGACGATTCCCTGCTGACGGTGCCATTGACTTCCATTTCCGCAACGCCAGGAGCGTCGAGTCTCTCGGCCGCTGGATCACCTGGCCGGTCGAGCTCCCCCCGGGGCCGCAGCGTCACCCCGAATCCCCCGAATACTATTCCTACTTTCTCCACATACCGGGCCGCCTGGGATTCGTCAACCTCGCCGGAGAACCGAAGAGCGGAAAGTAGTATATACTATACCACCGCCTGGGGCTCACCGTATGCTGCACCGAGTCCTCGGAGGCTGTCGTGGTCACTGAGTCAAGCCGGACCTGTCGATCGTGATTCCGGAAATAGCTCTCCGGTATCGATGCGCAGTGGCATCCGTAACGGTTCCGAATCGAACAATCCCGAGCTCTTAAGACCGTCTGCCCGGGACAGCTCAGCGAGACAACTGTACAGCGGTAATTCCAGCCGGTCTCCAGCCCGAGACATTTTTGGTAGGAAAGGTGGGAAGTCGATAAAGGACTTTACGCAAGATTGGATTAATCAATACCTCACCGGTCAGCCCAGAACCGAACGAAGCAATTGGTTGAGCGACGATTCGGGTAGTGAGGCACCTTCGTTTATTACGGCACAAAACTATTTCGCAGAGGACGCATCGGACGATTGGCTTGGCCTGGAACAAGATCCTCGCGACGAGGACCTCCTGAAGACTCCCACCCTCGCTGACTTCGTAAATCGAAGAGCAGCTCGCCGGGAAGGCAGTCTTCCACGCCAACGGACGAGAGATTATCTTCACAAGCGAGCAGATACCCTTCGACAGGAGGACTTTTGGGGTTTCGCATACGATAAAGACCCTCAGCCGATCACAATGGATTCAACAGAAGCACAGTCCCTTGTGGAACAGGGGCCCAACAAGGCACTTCCTACGATAGAAAAGCCGCTTCCTCCCACCCCGACAGACCCATCCCTTACGGACCGACTTGATACTCCTACCGAGCCGAAAGCCGTGAAAAGCCCAGCGCTCGACAGGAACAGCCAAACGCCGACACAACGAGTGAGGAAGAAGATAGTTTGGCGTGGGAAAGCATGCTTCATCTCGCTGCCATGTGACGACAAAAGAGGCACGGAGGAGTCTGGATACCGTTTGTTGACGGTGGAAGATGTCAAACAACGGTTGAGAGACTGGGAAGAACAGGGATACGACACCCGTGGATTCAGCGTCGGATCGGAGGATGTGTTTGATACTGAGTTGGGCGGCCTCAGTCGTCCGCTTTTCCCAGACCCGGCAGAGGTCCAGGAGGAAAGACAGGACGGGAGGTATGGGGTCAGCATTCCTGACAAAGCAGAGTGGGATGCATATGTTGCGTATCTTCAGGAAGAGAAATTGCGTGCCCTGGGTGTGTTTTTGGATGAACCCAAACCTTCAATATCCCCGGCCTCCGCTACTATGAGCCAGATGGCCCCCTTCCCCGGTCTTGTATCGTCGCCACCGATCCCGACAGGGTCAGCAGCTAGCAATCCTCTATCTTTGTCTCATCATTTCTCTCCGCAGCTGGGCCAGCCAGCAAACCCCGCCGGTCTGGGGACTCTGGCTTCCCCGGCTTCGCAGTTCAGCATTCAGACGCCATTCCTCGGGGTCGACCAGAACAACCTACTTCCTGGATACCCTATGCAATTTCAACCTACTCCTCCTGCTCAGGGCTCGCTCACTCCTCAGAGTTTCTTTAATGCGCGACAAGCAGGTCCCGCCGCATCCATTCCTGGAACGCTTCCTCACTTGGGCTCGATTTTGTCTCCCGTGTCACCATTGAACGAGCAGGGTGCCTTCCACCCTGGCTTGAACGAACAGCCAGGCCTACCGAAGGAGGCTTACGGTGGTCATGAGCTGCAGGATCACGTCGCGGAAGGTCAGCTGCTACGTCCCATTCGCACCCCTACGGAGGGACCTGATCACTTCCACGCCTCTACTGTTGAGATCGCGCAGCCTACCCCTCGTGGCCACGACCGTGGTCATAATCTGAGCGAAACGCTACAGAAGGGCCTGGACAGGATCCCGCCTAGCTATCATCTGGAGGAGACTATTGACCGGCAGCTTGATGAAGGTGATCGTGAGCCGGCTCTTCACAATTTCGATGGTTCTGAGCTCCTGCAATCTCGTTGGGCTTTCCCAGGGGCGGACGCTCTTGCATCCCAACAATACCCTCAGCACATGCACCAGTTCTACGGCGGCGATTACGCAGCAGGTAACGTCCATGATGGCTCGGATATCGATACAAACCCGAGTCTTTCTGGAACGCCTCAGCGACATGGTCCGCTTGCGAATAACATACCGTGGCATGAGCCGAAGCCCAGTGCTGGCTCATATACAGGCGGACACCGTTCCAAGCTTTCGTCCTCTACTTTCAACGTCGATGCGAAGGAGTTCAACCCAACTGCCTCAATCCCATCACAGCAATTTCCCTTCCAAGAAAACGCCTTCCAACCCTCGGCTGTTGGAAACCCCATGTTCACATTTGGCTCTGTGCCCAGCTTCAATCCCTCCGCTAGCGCTTTCAACCTTACCGCACCCCCCTTCACGCCCAGTGCTGCTGTCAACGATACGTCCACACAAGACACTGGCTCCAGCGAGTTTAAGTTTTCGACCGCTTCTCTCAATGTCGCGGCTCCTGCTTTCAACCCTACTGGTAGTGGCTTCCCTACGAAGTCTGAGGAAACTGCAAATGGCAGGACCAAGATATTTGACGACGTTGATGTCTCGGAGGCATCAAAGGCCTCCAACAAGAAGTCCAAGGCCATTCCCATCGTGCGGCCGGATGAGACTGCGGAGGACAAGAGCAGTAAAGAGGAGGCCGAAAACGACAACGGACGCCCAGTCCGCACTGACCGCCATAAGCGTGCACGTCGCGGCGATGAAGCATCAGATGGAGAGGCCCAGTTCAGCATGTCGCACGCATTGGCAGAGTCTGGTAACGTTCAACAATCGCAAGTGTCTAGCGCACACGGTGTGCCCGCTGAAGGCAAAGAAAACGTACAGCCAGAAGGTGGAGACAGCAATGAAGCAATTCAGAAGCCTGTCTCGATTCAGGATGACAAGTTCGCCGAAAGGAAAGATACCCCCATTAGTGAAGCGTCGACCTGGACACCGTTTGATAAGAAGAACGAGAGTACGGAAGCAGTCCAGGAGTCAGGACCGGCTACCGACATACAGCCTAAGTCAGAGTCGGCATCCGCCGAAGGAGGAAATGCTGGCAACAAAGAGCAGGAAGGGTCTACCGAAGATAACCAGAAGCACGCTTTCCTGTCACCCACTGCGAAGCCCTTCCAGTTCAAAGCCTCTGTTCCCGAATATGTGCCGGCTACTGCTGGGGAACCGACGCCTGCCCCCAAGCCGGTGGATGATGGGAAGAGCGATGCCACCTCCAAAGCTCCGGTTTCACCTAAGCGTGAGCCTATGCTATCTGAGGCCCATGCCGATGAGGCCGAGGACTCGCCTGACGATGAGGAGCTTAATGCTATCATGGAGCAGTTGAATGATGATTCGGATGTTGGAATTGAACGTCTGAGCACGCCTCAACCTCGTGATCGCATTCCCGAGTCTGCCCTGCATCCGTCTAAAGAAAAGCGACACGCTCCTGCCGACATCAGGAGCGAAGCTCCTAGCCCGAGCCCTGGACGTGGCCTGATGGCCAACACCTTGAATGTACCTAAGCTCGACTTCGATGCTCAATCTCAATTCTCTGTCTCCCCCTCCAAGGGAGTCGGTTCTGGCATTCCTTCTCCTGTGCGGCATCTGGTCAACCAGAATGATCACATCAGTGACTGGGACGATGTGATCTCTTCTGGTGAGGATGAGAAGCTGGCAAACCGGAGCAGATTCTTTGACCGTCGGATCAACGACCTCGTCGGCTCTGCCATCGATGAACGACTAACGCCGCTTGAGCGTGCGCTTGGTGTTATTCAAGAGTCCGTCATGTCAATCGCACCCGGCCCTCGCACCAAGTTGGAGTGGAGCGCATCTGTTGAGGGTGACAATAGCGACGCTGATGATGAGGATGATGTATATGAGAACGCGTCATACAGTACCAGGTCGTACCTCCGCCAGAAGGAGAAACTTGATAAGCTGAAGACTGTCTTCTTGGAGGCACTCGCATCTCGCGATAGTGAGCAGGGGAAGGACCAAACAGTTTCCGAGCTCGTACAGCTTCGTGAAAGCGTTTCTGCTCTTCAGGCTTTGACTGTACAGAAGCTGTCGCAAGATCCTGTGGACGAGATGAGAACAATGATCCAAGACCTGATCTCAAACCAACTGAGCCAGCAGAACTCGCGACCCTCTGAAGCAGAGGAGATCGGTGCTGAAAGCCTTATGCTCCAGATCGATGGTCTCAAGAACATGCTTAGGCTCTCTGATGAGCGGGCCGATCAGGAGTACAAGCTTCGGCGAGAGGCTATGGACTCTGTTGCGGAACTCCAGCGGCTTCTGAAGGTCGCTGAGGAGGATGCTGCACGCCATAGTGAAGCTGCCGAGGACGCCGAGTCCCGCTTGCTCCACTTCAAGGCTGAAAAGATTCCTTATTTCGAGAACATCCAGCATAAGGCCGACTCTCTTGAGAAAGAGCAAGAGACACTTCAGTTCACTCTTGCTGAGCTCTCCTCCAAGAACATCGCACTTCAGGGCACCCTGGATGAGTACCGCGTTTCGAGCGACAACTGGAAACGGGATAGCGAGGAGTCTAGGGCTGAACTTGAGCAGGTCAAGGCGGATAACAAGGAACTACGGGGTACAATCAGCCAGTTGAAGACGCGCTTGGAGGATGGCTTGAGTATCCGACACAATCTCGGCGAGAAGCTTGATCGTCTTCAAGATGAGATGGTAACCGTGACTCGTGACGTTACCCGGGACCAGGCTTCTTGGCGCAGACGCGAGGAGGAACTGAACGCCAAATACAATGAGCTTCGTGCAGCCTATGGTCGGGAGGTGAAGCTCCGTGAGAAGCTCGAGGAGGATATTAATGAGCTTGAAGCACAGGAGCGCGAGGCAGCCAAGTTGAAGTTCATCTTTGGCCAGTCTCAGCAGGAGAATGCCAGGCTTGAAGAGCTCGTCGCAAATCTGCGGCTCGAAAACCATGATCTAGAGCTTAAGGCGGCTCGCTTTGAGCGGGAGTTCCATGAGGCTCGTGAGAGCAGTCGCGTTGAGATTCAACGTACCAGGAACTCGCTAGAGTCGGATCTGGATGCTGCTAACAGCCAGGTTAACATTGTCCGTGCTGAGTTGGAAACACAAATCCTTCGCCTCCAGAGTCAAATGGACAACGTCAGAATGGAAAGTGACACTGCCCGGGAGCGCTACGAGATGCTGTTGGAAGAAGCCAATGAAACAAGGGCCAACAATCTGGCTGCTGCTGTCCAAGCTAAGGAACTGGCGGTGGAAGAACAACGGCAGACGCACGAACGGGTGCTCAATGACCTTCGAGAACGCCACGCGCGTGCGCTGCACAATGCTTCTGAAGATCGACAGCGCACGGAATCCCATCTGCTCGACCGCCTGGCTTTGTCCGATGACAAGGTGAAACACTTGGAGGATCGGGTTCATCATCTCGAGGAGAGGCTCGAAATTGCACAGTCCGCTGCCCGTGCTGCTGCCGAGGCCGCTCAATCTGCCAAGGCAGCGCCTGCTATGGCACCTGCGCACTCGAACTCGCCTTCATTGGCATTCCGTGAGGGATCCACCATGCCTGAGAAGATCTCGCCTCAAGCCTTGAGGGAGTCAATCTTGGTACTTCAGGATCAGTTGCAGCAGCGTGAAACTCGCATCGAAGAGCTGGAACAAGAAGTGGCTGCCGTTGACAAGGACGCTCCAAACAAGATCAAAGACAAGGACACAGAAATCAATTGGCTGCGTGAACTCCTGGGTGTTCGCATTGATGACCTCCAGGACATCATCACCACTGTGTCGCAACCTTCCTTCGACCGCAATGCTGTCCGCGATGCCGCTATCCGTCTGAAGGCCAATTTGCAGATGCAGCAACAGGAGAGAGAAAGAATCCATTCCGGACACAGTTTTCCTAGCCTCTCCTCCTTGGCAGAGTTGACTGCGTCACCGCGGAATCTTCCACTCGCAGCTGCAGCGGCATGGGGCAACTGGCGTAAGGGAAGAGATACTTCCAATTCACATGTTTCCGAACAGACGCCGTCGAAGTCCGGAAATGCAAGCTCCTTCTTGTCAGGCCTCTTGACTCCTCCGGCCTCCAGTGTTCGACAGGCTTCACCCCAGGCCGTTGGTACTTCCGCGACGATGGGTTCCAGGCGTCCATCGGCGAGTCGGCCTCTAAGGAATTACGACACGACGCCCAAGGCCGCTCCAGCTCGTGGAAGCAGGATGCGAGAGCCGCCGAGTACGCCTCCGTTGCTCCGTAGGTCAAGTTACGATCACGATGCGGAGCCTGCTGATTATGCCCACGACTCCTTCGGAGAGGACGCGGAAAGCACAGCGGACGGTTTGGTCTCGGAATCCCCTCGGGACACGGCAGACGGGCCATTTGGACCGCAAATACAAGCATAAACTGTCTATACACCATTTTCTCATTCATGCCCATAGACATTTGAAATTTCGGTTGTCTCAATACGGAGACGACTGATACTGTTATATTATGATGCATTTCCCCCTCTTCTACTTACATCGACCTCTCATTTGATAGTGCATACCTCGTGCCAGTTGACATGTTCATTTGCTGATTGTTTGGTTTGAGCAAGTTTATTGATTTTTTTCCCCTCCCCATACTTTTTTTACTCAACGGCAGTGGATTTATGATATTCTTTCCTTCGTTAATATACCATACCACCATTCTTCCTGCGTCCTACTGGATACCACACCTGTTGAAATGTACTCTTGCCGCAAATCTGTACACAAGTTTCTGCTTTTTTTTTTTTTTTTTTTTTTTTTTTTTTTTTTTTTTTTTTTTTTTTTTTTTTTTT